AAGCACCAGGGTCTCCTCAAACCCCAATATACCAGAATATTTAAAAATTCTTAAAGTTAATATCCCACAACTAAATTCATAATAGTGGAAAGGGAACATTACGTTTGAAATAGTGGATTGATTTACCACATTATCATTGTTTCCAAATAATCATGTATAATGATCTGGGGCAGTCGGATGTGAAAGAATATTATTTTATGGAAAGTACATATTTTCTATAAACCACAGCCCACTTTTGCTGCCTACTGGAAACATTACAGTGGAAGTGATATAGGAGAAAAAAGATCATAACCATCTTATCACACTGTTTTCCCAAAAGACACATGATGGATGTAAATAATTAGCTCATGTGCCAAGCGTCCAGTTAAGTAGATTAACTAAATAAATAAAAGTGTCTAAGACTTCCTCCCATTCTGGTTTGTCTTATCCATCTTTTCAAAACTGCACTTAATCTATGGCCTTTTAACCTATGTATTTTAACTTATGTGAAGTGTCCGAGTACCATGAAAAGCTCTCTATAAACAAAATGTTTGGGTTTGTTTTCTCCTCAGGGACATCGCAGCACGGAATGTGTTGGTGTCTACAGTCGACTGTGTAAAGCTGGGGGACTTTGGTTTATCACGATACATGGAAGATAGCTCTTATTACAAAGGTAAATATAACACATCTATACACGCACAGTGTTCCCCTAAATGCACATCTCCTTTTAACTTTGGTCCGTCATAACACATGGAGGAAAACACCATTATTATTTATAGGACTGACATAAACTGAGTCCAACACAGTTCTCCTGGTTTCTGTTTTTCAGCATCAAAAGGAAAACTCCCCATTAAATGGATGGCTCCAGAATCCATCAACTTTAGAAGATTTACCACAGCCAGTGACGTCTGGATGTTTGGTAAGTTTAAGTCTGTGTTTTCTTTCCTGTCTTAATTTCTATGTCAGTTTTGTCCTGATGTTTTGTGCTGTAGTCTGCTTCCGTTTTACTCTTTACTCTCTGCCTCTGCAGCATTTAAAAGCCAATAAGTGGCTGTTTCATAGTGATTTGAGTGTTTTTCTGTCTTGCCCTAGGCGTCTGTATGTGGGAGATCCTAATGTTCGGCATCAAGCCTTTCCAGGGTGTGAAGAACAATGACGTCATTGGCAGGATAGAGAACGGCGAGCGACTGGCTATGCCCCCTCAGTGCCCTCCTACTCTCTACAGCTTGATGACAAAGTGTTGGTCGTATGATCCCAGCAAGAGGCCACGCTTCACTGAACTCAAAACACAACTGAGGTACTTAAAGGAGTGTGGTTTGTGTGTGTGTGCGTGTGCGTGCGTGTGCGTGTGCGCGTGCACGTGTGTGCGCGTGCGTGTGTGTGTGGGCCATTTGGGGTTCAGTGTCTTACTCAAGGACACTTTGACATGTGGACAGGAGGGACCACCTATGCTCTAGCTCTGAATTGTTGTGATAATATTAAATTATCATTTTTGTATATGCTTTACTTCAGCTGAAGAAGACTGTTAGAAGTTAAGATCTCTTCGTATCTGCCCCTTTGCACCTGGCATTTTTTTGTCCTTTATTGTACGCTTTGGGTGTTTAATAATATAATATTGAGTAAAAGAAGCTCAAATAATGATATGACTCCATATCAGTCCAATCCAATGGTACATTTATTACATTTCATTTAAAAGTGGAAAAATGAATGTTTTTTTCCTAGACAGCCTCCCAATAAATCACTCCCATAACACAGCCCATCTATACTAGTTGTGATGTTTGTATGTTATTCTACTGTTTTCCCAGTAGTAGTTTTGATAAAGGAATGTGCCACAGTAAAATACTTTTTCCAGACAGCGTTTCCTTACACCTTTCTAACAGCAGGTGTCACCCTCTGTCTGCTCCGTTCTTGTTCTGTTTGCAGCCAAGATTAATACAGCAAATATTATTATATTTAAAATGAAGCAAAAAAAAAAATTGTCTTTCTCTTTGTGCTGCGGGTTAAACACCAGATCAAAATGAACCATTAGGGAGAGATGGACTGGTCAAGCTGGTCAAATACAGGTGGATAGGCAGGGATTTTATCCTGCTGAGGTCACATTTAGATGTCTTACTTTCATTGAGTTGGCAGAATGGATCATTTTAATATCTTGCTTTTTGTCTGTTCTGATTTTACCCAGTTTAAAATACTACATTAATTTTTCATTTTTAATAACTACCATAGAGGCAGTTGAGAAATAATTTCCTGTGCAAAACCTATGCCTGTTGAGAGGTTATATTCCATATACACTGTATTAATGTCACTCCAAAATCAATTCTAGGGATAACGATATATATTCCAATATAATGATGTGAAGTATTACATTTTGGCCATACCTTCTCTGCCGCAGTGTCATATACAGTGCAGTCACAATTGGTTCAACACCAGATTTAACATGAAAGTCAGCACTTTAACACCTCATAGCGATTGTTTCTTTTCAGATTCAATGTTCAAGAGTACAGAGCCAAAACAAAACTGTCCAAATACTTGACAGACTGTGCTTCACATCCTGTTTGGGCTGATGAGTTTATGGTTGGCATGGCAACAGAGACGCGATGATGAAAGCGATAGATTATATGAGATATCTTGGTCACGCCTTGTCTTCTTGTTAAATGATACATCATTGCCTTGTTACTAGCCTGGAGACAGATTTGCAAGAGAGAGACCTTATCTATCAAGAAACAATATCCCGGGCATGTTGTGATCAGATAAGGCAGGGCTAGACAACACTGTATGCAATTTAAAAACTCTGAGTCAGCCCCAGAGTAAATCAGCACTATGATATTCCCCATTTACACAGGAAGGGTTCAACCTATTTACGAGTCATAAAATGTCACTCTAATATCTGGGAAAGGCAATTAATCATTTGTGAACTGTTCTATCAAAGGTGCTGAGAGTTGCATTCTGAAGACAAGCCGCTCGAGCAAAACCTAAACAAAACCTTTAATTTAAAACCCAAGAACATTGTTTCAGTCATCATCAGGTGCCAAGAGGAGAGGAAGAACAAGGTTATATCCCTAAGCAAGTAAAGAAAGACATTGACTCCATAAACCTGATTTAGGCCTGCCAGTGTAGGGTTACAGTATGTGATTATAATTAATGCTAATCATAGGACCCTAACAGCCAATATGACATCACCAAGTTTGTCCCAGCACACATGCACAAAAACAAGCACACCAACAAAATAAATGTAGCTTTTTAAGATGTTCATACATGATAATGCTTGATAAATCCTTTTTTTCCCCTGCTTTGTCTAACAGAACAGGACAGAGATACATTAATGGGTTAAATCTAACACACTCCTTTTGACAAATAAAGTAAGTAGAGTAATATTTGAAATTTCTGGAAGACAGAAGAGAATAAGCAATATTTATTTTACATCAAGGTTCATTGAAACTTTCTGTCCCCCCTATGAGTGATATGATACGTCAGAAGTGGAGCATTTCCCAGCCACCATGACTCAACAATTCATAATCATGCTGACATGAACAGACCTGTAGTTTTTTCAACGTGATGTTTCAGTATTGCATCTGATGGCAGGATAGACTGTAATAACATGAGTAGTGCTGGTGGTAATGAAAAAAACTAGAGTATTAGAGTTTTAGACAGCTGCTGTAAAAGTACAACTCAACAGTCTCATTTTTACACAGAACTGGCCATGAGTTGCTTTGTTTTAATTTGTAAAAACTCCTGTCAGTCGTTTAGTCTAGACAAAGTGCTGCACTTACTGCATGTGAGTGAGTGCAGTTACTTACAGATTACAGATTAGCACAGTTTCTAGTGATTTCTCACAGGATATTATGATGAGTTCAAATGAGATGATATTTCTTATGGAGAAAACTAGATATCATTTATGTAATTTCCATATTTTTTTACAAACATTTTCTACTCGCAAAAAGTTTCAGCAGCACGGCAAGATGCCATCATTGTTTTCCTTCAACATGCACATTCTGGCTGTCTTGCTCTCTTTCAAACACACAGAAACAGGAAAATAAGAGTGCACATTTAACTCCTGTGGTTTTATGAGTTTGCTTAAAAACCAGCATGACTCACACCTTAAATTCCACCACCATTACACTTCCAATTTCCTCTCCTCTCCTCTCCTAATTCTACTACTCGTACACTCTCTTTTCCTCCTTTTCAAACTCCACTCTTTTTTTTTCATCCTCTCCTCCTGACCTCTTTCACCTTTTCATCGTGTCCTCCTGATCTCACTCTCTTATTTTGGCTCCAAGCGAATACTGGCCCCCACATCATGGAGGTCCGCTCATTAGTGTGACACATGTACAGTATGTTTGTGGTTGTATGTTTTAATGGGCGGAAAACCCAGTGTGGAAAAGTATGTGTGAACTGCATCGGCGTGCTAATCCAACTGAATTAAAAACATTTATTTTAATTGACTATGATAAGTTGACATGAAGGAACCCTTGATATGCCTCCAGTGTCTTGGAAACCAAGTCAATATTGACCACGTTAACTGTGGTCACTGTCTATTAATAGGGGAAAGTCATGCCATATAAGGTTTTACAATTTGGTTTACTTTCGGTCTGGCCGACTTTTATATCATAATATCAATTATAGGTCTCTCCTGCCAAATATGCAGCTCTCAGCTACTATAGTTTTCCTAGACGGCAGACCAACATGAGTGTGTGTGTGTTTACACAGTGGGCAGCTGCCAGGAGCTACAGCCAAAGAACAGAGAGAGAGAGAAATGAAAGAAGGAAGGGAAAATGCAAGCAGAAGTACTGCAGCGTTGTAGACTCCTGGTTAAAGCTAGCGGACCAAGGCTCCTAACTCTCAGATGATATTATGCTGATAGTGAAGTCTATTTGCGGTGAAGGACTGTAGCTTGTAGTCTAGCAGGGTTTTGTTTAGCTGCAGTACGACAAATTTGAGTCATCCTGCCAGGAGTAGTAGGTTTTACCCTTTTAGCGTTGCTGGGATCTTTTGTAGTTTTTGACCTTCAGAAGTGTATCAGTGCCACTGGCCCACCAGCTTTGTAGTGGATACGTTATTCTCCTAGAAGAGCTTGACTGGATATAATCCGGTGCTATTGGATTGGCTGTTCTTAAGGTAAAGTATTTTCTCTTCAGGCTTTCTAAAAGTTGTGTTATCAGCCTTTGATAGAGTGAATAGTTTATATTCCTTTTACATCACTTCTCCTCTGTTTATGTGTATGTGTGTTTGAGTGTGCTGCATACAGTACCTATGGGTTCAAAGCTGGTTTCAAGCAGCCATTTTGTGTTCCTCTTAAACATAATTCATAGGTGGTTGTTTGACTCTCCTCCACTGATCCTCTGGAAGAATTTTGCTTCTTTGCATGTCCCACTTATAGGACAAGATCACATTTGATCAAAGTCTGTCTTAAATCAATAGTCACATAACAAAGGTTATTACTCATTGTGGTTGTTCCTCCTGTCCATACTGGCTCCAAAAAGATTCCTTTCATAAAGCGTTTTATATGTAAGTGATGGAGAACCAAATTCCCAGATACCCAAAGCTCAGTTTCCATCAGTGATGGTTGTACAGGTGAGAAATTCTTGCGAATAAAGCAGGGCGTTGCTGAATAGTCCAAGATTGTGCAGTCAGCCAAGCCTGAGTAAATAAACTTAACAGGCCTTGTTTTCCCAGGTGGTGATGTGGTGTAGGTGGGGGAAGAGACAGTCAGTGTTGATGTTGCCAGGTGCCGATGGTATCGTCATCGCACGTATTCATACATGATGTCATTTATGTTGAACCGTGATGCAAGGTCGGAAGATTTATTTAGGGCCAGTTACATTTGGATCAACCCATAGGAATAATTCAATGCAGCACAAAGACAAAATCTTTTCCTGCAGACTAGAGGAAGAAAGAATTTGTCTAGCTGACAAAGAAACTAAAGAATTAAATAATAAAAAATAAATAAAAGTGAAACATGTTGCTAAACTGTAAGAATAAGAATAAATAAAGTAATATCCACAATATAATCTGTAAGTCATCACTGTCAGGCTGAGTAAAGTAAACAAAATAAAGTATTGGATCTGCTATTAGTGTACAGTCTTCATCCAGACAATGTATATTTATATTAACATAATAATAACACATCACACAATAAGTGTGATGAAACTGTTATTTCAGTACCCATATTGTCGTATAAATGTGATGGAAAACAAGGACGAGATCTGATAGGAGACTGACTTCGACAGGTGCAAGAACTCTGTCTCTCTCTCTCTCTCTCTCTCTCTCTCTCTCTCTCTCTCTCTCTCTCTCTCTCTCACTCACACTCACACTCACACTCACAGACACACACACACACACACACACACACACACACACACACACACTCACACACTCACACACGCTCACAGTTACACTCACAGTCACACACACGGCAGGAGACAACAGAACAGGAGGGTAATGATGTTACTAGAAATAGCTCTTACCCTCGTTGAGGAGAGGAGGGTAGCAGGAGTGTGTGGAGAGTGTTATGTGTTGGACTGTTCAAACATTCAGTTTCGTGGAACCATCCACTCTAGCAGCTCCGTCCTCTGGGAATCTGGGTTTGGTTTAGCAGCAGTTTTCCCAGGGAGCAGGTCAGTAAGGATAATTTTAGCAAGTAAATTCAGAGTGGTATGTTTGGCTGCATTAGACATAAAAATGTTGGGTTTGGGGCGTGGGACATTGCTTAGCCTCCAAGTCAATTTGTTCTTAAGCAATATTACCCAAAGATTTACTGCTTTGTTTTGCCTGACACAGCAAAGAGATGGTATCAGTAGTTAGTATGAGTATACAGTGAAGGGTAAAAGTTGAAACATTATTTTGTCTTTTTTAAGACATAATGTTGAAATGCTGCAAGGCAAGAGAGATATTCCGATTTTGGTTTCCAAACATCTAAAGTCAGAACCTTTGACACCGGCTTGAATAGTCTTTATTATTGTATTACTGTATTGGCTCACTGAATATTATTGGAAGTTATTTGAGCATTCTGGGATGAACTGTAGTGCTGGGAGGAGACTGAACAATAAGACATTTCATAACAAAATGGAATTTGTTTTTCTCATGACTGAGTTTGTGTTTTGACGTACAAACAGCGTGAAGAAGTGTGTGTGTGTGTGTGTGTGTGTGTGTGTGTGTGTGTGTGTGTGTGTGTGTGTGTGTGTGTGTGTGTGTGTGTGTGTGTGTGTGTGTGTGTGTGTGTGTGTGTGTGTGTGTCCTTATGCGGTTGACAGTAAGTCTTTGTATCTCCAGCAAGAGATTAAAAAATCCCTGTGATGTGTGTATTTATGTGTAGGAGCATCTGTTTGTATGAGTTTACAAGCGTGTATGTATTAGCATACTTCATTAGTTTCTCATGACTTTCTTGACATTTATTTAGGGATGTTTTTCAAAACTAGCCACACTGTAGGCTATGCTCTAATATCAGGGTAGGACAGGCATCACTCTCATCTTGCCATTGCTCACCTGGCCTAAAAGCGTTCCAGGAATTGCTATACTACAATACTGTTTATTATAACAACTAAGCTAAGTATAAAGTGTTGAATGCCATATGTTCATTTGTCCATTTGTGCTAGAGGTGGTTACATAGATGATATTGGAATATGATATACTATTCTGTATTACCCCAAGTACTTATTTACCACCTATTACCTTTCTTTTTGCTTCTTTCCAGTGCTGAATGTAATGAGGTGACAGAAACAAATAAAGATAACAGCACCCTCTTTATGTTACATCATCTTGTTTTTTTCCAGCACTATATTAGAGGAGGAGAAGCTCCAGCAGAAAGAGAGGAACAGGATGGAGATGAGGAGACAGGTCACTGTTTCCTGGGACTCGGGTGGGTCTGATGAAGCACCACCAAAAGTAAGGCACTACTACACCACACATGTTTGTGTATGTTTGTACGAGTGCAACAGGTGTAGTAATAAAGAGCATTGGTTGTGTTTGTGCTGTTTGTAGTGAAACACCCTGATCATTGCAAATCCCATGCACTCTTTATAGTTAGGGATTGCAGCCTCTCTGATATGCTTTCGTTTGCAGTTAATGACTTATTGATTCATTTGATTTAATGTTTCCTCTGTTTGTACAAGTTTCCTCTGTTTGTACAAGTTTGACTCTTTAAGCATTCAAGGTTTCCGCAGGACCCTGGTGACATGCCTATTGAAATTATTGCTGAAGTCAGTTGTCATATGGGGGTTTCTCACTATGATGATTAAGGTCAGGAAAAACAAATGTGAATGGGATTGAGCCAAGTCCCATATCATAAGAAAATATGCCCTCGCACTAAAAGAAAAGGCTGTTGTCCAAAAGATGTCAAAACGTGACAAGAAAATAAATCTTTTAGGTCATAAGACCATTGACCATGTGAAATTTTATGTCACATCTTTGCACATTTTGTCAGCCTTTGCATAAATAGATTTTTTGCATTTGAAAAGCAGCTTCTTTTTTCAGTCTGTGTGCAGGCGTCTTATGATATGTCAGTATGATGATCACCCTGTGGTAGACGGGTTAAGGTTGATATTACAGTCTCATAGATTAGAACAAAGGAGACTTACTTGGTATGTGTAACATGCATATGCAAGAAGAAACTCTTACGCATGCAATGGAAAATTATCAAAAACTGGAACAAGACGTGTGGTTAGAACAGTTAAGTCATAAACCTTGCTTCCTTCAACCGTGTAAACAAGGTGAATTTCTTGAATAATTAGCTTTTACAAATATGACATTACTTAAAATATTCTGTTTGCATGTTCATAAACCCCGCCCCCACTCCCACTTCCACTAGTACCATCTCACCTCACAGCTTGTTGCCACAGCTGCTGGCTGCTTCACCCTCACTTACTGCCCCCAGGCCCCTGCTGTTAGCATCTGTTAACTGCGTCTTCTGGTTACAACTAAAGCCATATGTCTTCAGCAGTAATGTACTGTTTTTTTTTAAGCCTTCAGTGATGCAGTTGTCCTTTCACTAATCTAAATTTGGTTGCAGGTATTAGTGGATGGCGCAATTGTTTTATTTAATTGACGACAAAAGGAATCAAAATGTTTGTTTGGCTTTGGTCACAGTCATGCACATTTTTGTCTGCACTTCATTTCATCCCTGTCTGTCTCACCTGTCGACTACATGTCTCTGTCTCCTATGATACCTTCTTTATTTCCATTTCTCCCTCCTCTGCCTCTGTCTTTCTGTTTGCAGCCGAGCCGTCGCCCCTCCCTGCAGCCCACCTTCAGTCTGGATTGTCTGTCTGCTCCTTCTCCTCACCACCATTGCCATCAAAACCAGCGCTTTGCCTCACAGCTTTCCCTCTGCCTTGGAAACCCTCATCCTTCGTCTCCTTGCACCTCTTCTTACCTACCCACTCCTCCACTCTACTCATCATCTCTGCAATTTCCCCATAACTTTTCCTCTTCTCCCAATCCTCAGCCTCAGTCACCTTCTCTTCATGTCACCACTCACTACAATCAATCTTTCTCTCAGCACAACACAAAGTTGGATCTGGAATCCAACGCTCATCCCAGCTTGTCTCGTGCTAACTTCTATTCTCCACCTCACACCAGCTCAGACTGCCTTTCCAATGGCATCTGCCCCTACAAGAAAAATCCCCCTACTAACGGCCACCTGCTCTGTTCATCCCAGCCAAAGTCAAACAACACACACTCCCATCCCTGGCACTTCTCCCCTCTGCTTTCCCAATCCAGCCCTAACCTTCACTCTCTGCCCCGCAGCATGTCAAATGTTTGTCCCCACAGCCTCCAGAAAATCCAGCCCAAGTCAAATTCTAATCTTAAAACCCTGCTGTTGCCCAGCTTTCACACTGGCTGCCAAACTAATCCCAGTACCCCTCTACAACCTGACTCTGACCCCCAGCACCAACACCCTGCTGTGCAGTCATGTGGGAGGCCCCCGCTGGTCTACCCTCCCCCCCTCACTCTTCCACACACAGAGAGAGCCCTCCCAGTATCCTCCGCGCATACTCAGTCTTCCACTAACCACCATCCACCCAGTCGAATGACAAGCCTAACTACACCTTTTCCTACCACCTGCGCTGAAAGACCCATGTCCAGACCCTTGAAGGCAGGTGGTGTAATATTAAACGGCACTAATACCGTTTTTGATTACAAAAACAAAGCTGTCTGTCTCTGTCAAAAAAAGTTGCAATTCGTAGCCCTTTTGATAAATGTCCTAGCAGATTTAAAAGGGAAATTCTACATTCAAAGATTTACATTTAAGATTTATATTTTAGTATTTTAGGGTTGATTATTTTCTTAAAGCCTCCTGATAAATTTTAAAACTTTTAGAAAAAAATACCCTTGGGTATTATTTATTAAGAGTTTAACTCTCAGAAGCCAAACTAATCTGTTTCATCAAGACTGTGTGGCTTTGGTTTGATGAGATTTGATTAACCATGGCCTGGCAACATAAGCAAATGACACAACAAGTGTCATCACATTTTGATTTAGCCTTGCCCACTTCGAACCAGTGATACAAGCACAAACAATCAGCGCAGACATAAATCTCTCTAAATGTTTCCAAACATTTCCAAACGTTTATTTCCAGGACTGAAATTCTGTTTTCTGACTAGCTCAGAAAACAATGTTGCAACATTTTTTGATGTTATGACTTTGATATCATGTCAGATTAAACTCTGATCTTTGCAGTGATTTTTGATGCAGTGTTTGCAAACACCAGTGACTGTAAATCAGCATGTTTATGCTTTGCCTGTTGGCATGCTTCATCTGTGTTGGACATGCTGTTAAATGTCCTCTGTCGTGATCGAATGCAGTTATATGTGTTTGTTGATGTGTCCTCGGATTATTGCACCCTATTTCTAGCCTGTTCAGGATGTCTGTCATAAATCCAAAATCCAAACAGTTTGACCCATCTAACACACGTGGAAGTTAAATACAGTATATCATGGAAAAGCAGAAAAAGTAAATATTCAGAGAATTGTCAAATTCAAAAAATTGTGCTCAGCTTTTAAATTATACTGGAATTTGAATGAAGTGGCTTGAGTTTAAAACGGATGCTTAAAGCCTTTTTCAGAACTAATGCTGCTATATAATGCAACAACCTTTCCACTTTCCATGTCCGGGTCTCGGCCATGTCCAATAGAAAAGAGCTTCAACTACTGCATCATATTCAATTTAATGTTATGCGTCTGCACTGTGTACTAAATTCTGTCACATTGATATGTTGCATAATATATCACTGAAGCTTATAAGAATGTGTAAAGCCTAGGATTGAGACAGTTACTATAAATACATAAAGAGCTAGCTAAAAGGTCTGTTTCTACTGAAGCCTGTTTATACAGAGCTGGTCACCTTGACCCCTAGCAGTAGGGTGATAGCCAGTATTACTACACATGAGCTTATTATGGTAGGTGACCCTGTTTTTGAAATGAACGTTTAGTTAGAAACATCACCCTTCTACTTATGGCACCAGTGAGAAATCAGTGATTGAAACCTGACAGAAATATAGTCACGCTGTCTAAGACAAGAGTCTGTTTGGCCGCCCTCAGCTGGAAGTTAAATCCTTGCAACAGCCAGAATTCAGCCCAGTTATTAGTCTCTGTGAGACATTCCTGATACGGAGCTTGTTTTCACTGCACTGTGACCCTTATGGTGTCAGATATGTCCTCGTGGGAGTCAATGATTCATGCCCCAGAGTAATACAAGTAAAAAAGAACATTTTAATTACACTGTGCTACTCAACATTCCTAGAATTCTTCATTGAGTAATGTCATGGCTCTATATGCAACTAACAGGGGTTTTAAAATGAACCCCAGTTACTGTGTGTTGTTCTGAAGTGGCTGCATTTTCATAAATAACACAATCTGCTTAAATGTAAAAAAGGTAATGAAAAGTTAACGTCAAATAGAGGTGAATTGTCAAAATGTATGAATTGTTTTAAAAGTTTAAGCTCATATATTTCATATTTCAAAATGGTTTCTGTCATAACCCAAAAGCAATTATTCCCACATACCTGTAGCTTGAGATTTTTTTGTAAACAACACATAGCCTTGCATTTTTATCTGATGCAAAACACCACCTGAAAGCAGACTCTCGCCATGTATTTGCACATTTATTTTTAACAGGATGTAGATTGACCACTAGGGGGGACCCCAAAAGGAGCTATTCAAAAAGTGCCGCTGTTATGCTCGTGGCCTGCAGGTGGCACAAGTGTCAGAACTGCTTCAGCTTATTGTCTCTGCCATGTAAAAAACAATTTCTGTCTCACCCTGCTACATGTAACTATCCTGTCTCATTAACCTCCAGTCTGTCTGTCTGTCTGTCTGTCTGTTGTCGCTTTGTTTATCTTTCTATTTTTAAGCTGGGTATTCTCAGGGAAACCTCCGGCTACCACAGGGCTGTGAATCTGTGAAGAGATCATTTGGTTCTTGTTAAGGAACCTTGTGTCGTCCATGTATGAGCATGTTCACAACATGCTGTACGTTTCCCTCTCTGTCTGCTCATCTCAGAGTTTTTAAGCTCCTGTTTGTCTCGTCCTCAGTTTCTTTGTCTTGTCTGCTTCTCTCTGTCCTCCCTTCCTCCCATCCTACTTTTTATCCTTTTTTTTTTGTTTACTTGTCTCCCTCCCTCCATCCCTCTCTGTCTTTCTTTGCTGTCTGTTTCCCTCCCTGTGTGTGCCTTTGTGTCTGTCTTGCTGTCGGAGGTGTGGTCCAGAGAAAGCTACTATGAGAGGCTGTGGAAGGTAGAGGTTACAACACTGTTGTGCTAGAAATGAGCTTTGTCTTAGAGAACTTTAAATCATTAAGAAAAATGTCTCCAGTCATTCTAAGATGGGAAACTATTCATCAACTTTCAGCAGCTTCATCTCAACAAATCACCAGAAACCAAGAGAAGAAACAAGGCTGTGGGTTCACCAAGGGCTTCTGTTTTTAGCTACTGGTGCCCAGCAAAGGAACAGAAAAGAACAGAGACGGGTAGCAGACTCACTCTCCACTACTAAATTATCGTCCTTTAGCCAGCCGCATTCAGCAGCTTGGATTAAAAATTCTTATTTCTCACGAGAAACTCACTTTGTTATGCAGATCAAAAATATTTTGCACCGCACTTCCTTCCTCCAACCTTTTCAGGGGCAGTACATCCTTCATCAGAAAAAGCCAGTGCTTTAAAGAGAGGTCTTTGGTGAACGTTCAACCATAACACTTTATACACACCTGCATAACATCTAACCAGAGATTCTACTGGTCGATCGTCCCCGACTATTACATAGTTCATATCGGTAATCCATGGGTGTTGATGCTCGTAACACAGGGACAGTAGTTAGTGCCACTTCAACTAACAGCTTGCTGCAGCCCAGTGGGTGTTCCCTGTTTTGATTGACAGCTAACCCAGCCACACAAACAGCTCCTAGGTTTGTGTGTTGATTGTCTGAATGATCCAGTGCCCTGTTTTCTAACATTTAGTTTGGGGAAAAAGATGAACAAGCATTGTAACTGTATTTTTTATTTCCCCCCCTCTCTATTTCTATTTTTCAACTTCTATTCCTCTCTTCACCTCCCTCTCTCTCGCTCTCTCCCGCTCTCTGTCTGTAGCCTAGTAGACCAGGCTATCCCAGTCCTCGCTCCAGTGAAGGTTTTTACCCCAGTTCCCAGCATCCTGGACACTACCAGGTACGCAATGGGCAAAATCCATTCCAGAAATAATAAAGATAAAAACATAAATAAATGCAGCATAAGTTAAGATGTAAAGGTATTACTCAAACAAGAACTTATAAAAGACTAACAGTGTGTCTTTCTCTCTCTCTGCTCTCCCTCCGTGGGTCAGATGGCAGGGTATCCCGGCCCTCACACCCTCCCCTCGGTGCCCAGCGCCCTCTACCCCCCACAGGCTGCGATGCTGGACACACACCACGCGCACACCCACCCCCGCCACCACGTCCACACACACTCGCATGCCCAGCACCTTCCCCAGCCACATGGACACGACATGGCACTGTGGGGCTCTGCGATGGAGGTAGGAGACCAGTTTTACACTCACACACACTTTGGTCAGTCATTGACTATCAACTAAAATACATACAAACAGATGCTGTCAGTATGTAACGGGCACAGCGGCTTTGTTCAGTCACACTCAAAACAATGAAAAGGTAACTTTCAAGAGTTCACTGTTTCAAAATCATGAATATGCAAGTCCAACTCTGAGTGGTTGAATATTTTTGAGATCTGTTTTACTTTCTGGAAATATATTTTGCTCGTTTTGGACTTTAAGACAAAACCACCAGTGAGAATTGCATTTGTTGCCTGGCAACCTTAAGAGACTGATCAGTGGAAAAAGTACCACCTGCATAACGAGTGCAGTCCACACATTTAATGAATAATCCAAATATTTAAATTGTAGAAATCAACAGTCCATTGACACCCTTTTTTTCCTAGTTCAGCCTCTCATCAGTCTGGTGTATGTGTCTGTCCTGTTTGTGTGTGTGCATGTTTGTCTTCAACTGTGACTCTGTGTGTGTCCCTGTGTTGGTGTGCATGTCTGTTGCTATGCTTGTTGTTCTGTCTTTTGTTGCATGTTTGTATTTGTGTGTGGTGTGTGTGGTGTGTGTGTGTGTGTGTGTGTGTGTGTGTGTGTGTGTGTGTGTGTGTGTGTGTGTGTGTGTGTGTGTGTGTGTGTGTGTGTGTGTGTGTGTGTGTGTGTGTGTGTGTGTGTGTGTGTGTGTGTGTGTGTGTGTGTAGGACAGGGCAGTAGACATGCAGCAGTGTGTAGGCCAGCAGTGCCTGTTAATGGAGGAACAGCTGATGATACAACAACAGCAGATGGAGGAGGACCAGAGGTGGCTGGAGCAGGAGGAAAGGCTGCTGGTAACACACAGCACACATTGGGAAACACACTCACAGACACAGTTAATACACAATAATATAATAAACAAGGACATAACAGTAGATTTACTTTGATACACTGTACTCTCTGAACTGCTTGATATTGCTACTGTATTTTAGCCATAAATATACACAGCAAATACAATCTATTTGTATTTCAGGGAGAAATAAACAAATGTTTGCTGAAATATTAATGCAGCATTACAAGACAATAGAGTGTGTATGTATATATCTGTATAACCAAGAACATTTCACAGGAGAAAAGCAAAATATAGAGAAACAGCTGCACTTTTAAGACCCCTGAGTCCCTTTTTTGTGTGATGTTGTGCATGGTACAGTGTGTTATTGTTACCTGTAATGCAGCTTTATTGCTTAGTTGCCATCTTTGACTTGTCAGTTGTGTTGGTGAGGTGTTTTTCTTTTTTAGTTCTGTCATGCATGCTGTTGTTTTTCTAAATTTGTTAATGGACTCTCTGAAATTCCTCATTTCCTTTTCAAGGAGCATATCGATAGATTTAATACATGTAAAACAATATTCTAATGGAAAGATGTGTATGCTAAATAGATTACAAATCACCAAAGTCCTTATTAGGATAAGAATTCCGATTGCAGCAATGCTGATATTCGTCCTCAGCTGCAGTGATTATGAAGCAATAATATTTTAAGGGAAACAGTTGCTATTTGGAGCCCAGGTTCAGATATTGACACCTCACCTTATTTAAGAGTGACTTTTATGGTGATCGTGCTAAGAACCTTCAGTGATGAGTGAAACTAAAAGAAAGCTTTTCTGCAATCAGCTAAGAACCAGGTGAGAATATGTATTGGAATTTGGAGTTTTATGGTCTTTTGTTTGATCAAAGTACCTCAAAAAATGCCTTTTTGTGGCTCAGTCACTGATTCTCTGGGGAAAATACACAATTTTCAAGAACTTTTCTTCTTCTTCTTCTTCCTGTTCCTTAGTTTCTATTTGGGAATTAACTGCTCCCTCCCTACAGAAATTCATTACCATCTCTCTGGTGAACAGTAAATTAATTATGACTGATCTCCTATTCTAGTAGAAACACACACACGAAGATAATAAAACACATTGTTTTTTTGCTATCTGGTGTGAGAAATGTTACCTCTGATCGAGAGACCCTCTGACATAAATACAGGGGGAGAGGAGGAGGAACGTTTCATGTAGGACGCATATTTCTGTGAACACTGATTGAAGGAGCTGTTTGGGGTTTTTGCTCAAGAATTTTATTGTACGTGTGTGTGTGCATGTGTTTGTGAGTTTGTAGGCAGGTGTGGCCTGTGTGAATTCCAGGCTAATGATAGGCTTAGAGAATCTGACAGCCCAGTCAACAGTCTGTCTTTGACCCACAACCGCTTACTGACAACACACAAGATTACTGAAAAGCTGTGTGTGTGTGTGTGTGTGTGTGTGTGTGTGTGTGTGTGTGTGTGTGTGTGTGTGTTGTAGGCTGGCTGGTTTTTATAACACTGTCACTTCAGGGAGGGGCAAGAGAGAGGGGGGAGAAAAGGAGGTGGAGAAAGGAAGAATGGTTTGGGAAAGAAGGGTAGACATGCTCGCATACTGACGGCTCGTTGGCAGAATGCTCCATCCCTCCTTCTCCTCCTCCTCCTCCTATCTCCTCCTCCTCTTCTCCTTCCCTCTCTCCGTGCGTCAGAGTCAGATATAAGTGTGCTGGAGGCAGGAAACTGGAGTTGCATCTGAATTCTTGTCTTGATGAAACTACTGCCACAGACGAGGATACGGGCTAGTGGACAGACAGACAGACAGACAGGGAAACTCTCAGTCATAGAGGCAGACCAGAGCTATAGTGAGAGATACAATAAGATCAGAACCAGATAGCATCACAGACACAACACCTCAAGCAACTCGGACACAAACAGTTCAAGCAACTTTGATGAACTCAATGGCAATGCTGGTCTTCAAGTCCTGTCTTGGAAAACTGGTAGGCAGGGATGGGTGTGAGCGAAAGTGGCTGGTTAGTTGTGTGGGTAGAGGTGTTTGTGTGTGGTTTTATTTCGGCTTTGTTTGCGGGTGACGATTTGGGGATCAAATGTCAATCTGAAAAATTTGAAGAAGTTTGTGTGTAGGAGGACAAGTCCTGCACTTTTGGATTCTGTACAGCGTGTTCTTGTTTTTATTTGAAGTCTCGGGCCGGGGAACTGTGTTTGGATGCATACCTTTAGTGAGTTTTTTAGTGTGAGATTCACTCATTCATTTCGTCATTCGCATAAATCATTGCAAAATTTAAGAATAAACTTGGATTTAGAGAATTGGAATCTCTTCACTTTCACCTTAGACAGATCACTTTGTAAAATATGTTCATTTCAATCCAAAAATCTTAAGAAAATCACTAAATCTATTGGTTTGAAGTGACCGAGTTTGTACCATATTACACACCAATCTAACAACAGCACGGGATACACTGCAGATCTGATGGCATGCCATAAAAGGATATTTGTCTCAGAGGATGTTCCAGGAATCAAAATCCAATACTGCTTTAAAGTAAGAAACAAAAAAAGCAATTTGGCTTGCTGTTTATTGGAAAAACAATCACATAATTATACTGTAAACGCAGAACATTTGTCTCTGAATCTCTAATTGGCAGCAAATTGAAGTAACTTAGTATCAACTTTAATTATTGTTGATGTATGGAGATATCATTTTTATGTTTACTTGTGTGTGTTTAGAAACCAGACTCTAGAAGTTCTAGAGGGAGTCTGGACAGAGAAGAAGGTGGACTCCAACCACCGGTAAGTTACTGTTATGTTTTATTTTCTTTTAATCAATAGCTGTTTTCTGTCTCCATCCATCTCACTGTTAGCTGTCAGTGTGTGTCAGTGCAGCAGGACAATGACACTTCACATGTCTTCACCTCAAATATCATAACCATTTGCCACTCCTAGCGCATAAAAACAGGGAAGTTATTTTCTGAACTGTTTTTAAGAGAGGAGGTTGTCTGATAAAGACAGATGTTGACGGAAGTCCACATTCTGGTTAGACTCACTGCAATTGGCTGCAGCGCTTGTTTGTTTTGATTAGAGCTGAGGGGATTGATCCAGAGACAGGAAGTGACCTGTGGGGGTGGGTGGGGTCAGCAATGAGGGGTCAATGGATTCCCACAACATCTCCAGTTATTAATAGAACACTGTTGCAAGAAAGCAAGTAGTCGTCTTTATTCATTTCTCTCCCCGGTGTTGCAAGTAGTAGCGCTGCATGCTGGTAGTCTGTAGTTTACTGTGCTCTGTCCATTAGACAAAACAAGCAATTTGAAGCTACACCTTGGGTTTTGGGTATTTCAATCAACATCTTGTGACATTTTAGAGCCCAAACGATTGTTTAACAGAGAAATGAATCAGCAGATTTACTTATGATGAAAATAGTCATTAGCTGCAGCCCTAGTCACATGAATATGTGCAGACAGGCTATAATATCTTAAGATACCTATTCTTAAGGAGACATCATTTCTCGGCTTTCACATTTGTGAAAGAGAGAGCAAACCACGTCATTTTTTAAATTGAGCCCTTTGGTGTAATTCTGAAATGATTTCCACATTGACAGCTGCACATTTTCAACATAATGATGATTATATACTGTTGAAACCTCTAATATATTTTAACACAGGTAGTATTGAAAGGTAACTTTATCACTTTTGCCTTCCTGTAATGTTCTTTTTTTTTATAGACTAGAAACTGGGGTTGTTGTGTTTTTCTTGAGGCCTCTCTATGATTAAGTTTCTTCTGCTGAAACTAAAATATGTTGTTGATCAGAACTTTTGTGTAACTTTATCCCAATTGGAATCTCGAGAGCTCAACACAGAGTTGTATGTTGATGTCTGTTGTGTTCTTGATGCCAGAAGAACTAAGTTGTTGTAGCAGTCTGAAGTTGCCCTGGGCCAGATATTTCTGTCTCTGTAATTCATCTCTCTCCTTGTCCTGCTCCTCCCATTTGAATGGCTGTGGTTTGTGGTGGGAAAATCTCCCTTCTGTGTGTGTGTGTGTGTGTGTGTGTGTGTGTGTGTGTGTGTGTGTGTGAGTGTGAGTGTGTAAAATTCTGTAGTATAGGGTATTTTGGGGTGTTTGTGGTTGTCAGACCACAACACTCTGATGGCACAGAGGCGTTGGAAGCCCTCTGTACTGTTTTCTCACCCAGAGAAAACAACAAAGATTCAGTAATAATACAACAAAGTAAATTATGTAACATGCCTGACACCCCTAGAGAGTTTTGTGGCATCAATTTATGCTCACAACCATCAAATCATACAAACATGCTGCAGGATTTTTTCTGGTTTTGAAAGGGACGCACTAACAAAGGAAACTCTTTTTTTGTTTTCCCTGTGCAGCCAGACAGAATATTTTTGTTAACATAAGTAACACAGTGCTAGACCACACACCACTGAAAACAGAAACGGCTCCTGGACTGGAGATGACTGTGAACTCTCTGTGTTTTACAAGAACAAATTGAGACGCCATGTCGTGTGACAAGAAAATTAAACTGGATTCCCTAAATGTTTCAGAACCAGCTGGTGGTTTTTGCCTATGCAGTTCTAATTTCCTGCAAAGCTTCTGATTATGTGTGTGACTAAGCATTTGCTAACCCAATGTTTTCTTGTTGTGTTTGTTTGTGCAGACAGGAAACCAGCACATATACCAGCCCGTTGGCAAACCAGGTAATAGACAGGCCTGCAAACAACCACTATTGTTTTATTCTCTCTTCTCTTTCTGTCTCCTAATCTCCTAAAGTATGTAGTTCACACATATACCGTTACATAGCTCTGTGTAGCTCCATATACAGGATGTATCTCCCACTACCAGCAGATAGAGACTCGATCTGTGTGTGTCAGTGTCTGCTTGCAGAGTACAGTCTGTTGTCACAATATGACAAATCTGACTGTGAACTGTACAGCCTGTTGGCCGGCTAGCGAGCAAACCAACCTCTGTTTATATGGACTCAGACAGCATGTCGAGCTCAATATGTTGTGTCCTCTGAGCGTGACTGCACCCACCCTGTAAGCAGGGTGAGATTTTAAAGGGCAATTTATATGTTTTTCTACAAGGGACTGTATTTTCTTCAGTTAATTCAAAACCGTTTTCATCATTCAGTTGTTTATTGTCACGTAGAGCTGAAACAATTAGTTCATTAGTCAATCTAGAGATAATTAATTGCCAATATTTTAATAATGGATTATTTGTTTCAGATGTTTAATCAAGCAAAAATGTCGAAATATTTTTAGTCTGAGCTTCTCAAATGTGAGATTTTCTGGTTTTCAACTGTTGGACAGACAGTTCAATAGACTAAATGATTAATCGCTAATGAAAATAACCTTTAGCTGCAGTCCTACACTGTCAGTTGCTGGGGTACTTTGGTCCCTCTGCAAGAGCTGCTGATGAACGTAAACTTTTAGGAGACTGTAAAACCGTGAGGAGAAATATGTTTTCACTTTTATATGTTGTTCCCTGCAGAGCATGCAGCTCCCCCAAAGAAACCCCCTCGACCCGGGGCCCAGAGCCAAGTGGGCAGTCTGGCCTGTCTAAATACTGGAGACAGTTACAACGATGGAGTCAAGGTACACACACACACACACACACACACACACACACACACACACACACCGAAATACAGTAACACACACAAATCCAAAACAAAAATACAGAGACACACTGTTAAAAAAGAACACTTGCAGAAATAACCAATACCCATATGAACTGACAAGGACACATTTAGCAGATATACAGGTTGCATGTTTCTTAATACTTAGAGCGTTAATATTTTCTTCTTTTCCTTTGGCTGCTCCCTCTCTCCCTCCCCTCCTCTCCCTCCTTCTCTTCCTCCTCCTCCTCCTCCTGCACTCTGCCTTACTGTTGACCCCTAGCCCTGGCGGGTAAGCAGCACACTGTCTGTGTGTGTTTACTGTGCGTCTTGTCTGCTAGTTGATCACACCTAGATTCATTTGTTCCGCTCTTCCATCAGTTTTTTGATTTCTCAAATCAAATCATCTGCAGTGTTATCATATAAACATATAAACACATTTATTTCATCACGGAGTTCCCTTTGTTGTGTTGATACCAGTCAGGTTTCTTTTTTCCTCTAAACTAACATCCAGATCTACATAGCTGTGTTTGTGCTGACAGTATTTAACCCTCTATCGCACTGGAAATTCTTCAGAATTAGTTTACTTACTAAAAATCATTCAGCTTTCTAGGCTATGGTGAAAAATAATTAGATCTTAGGCCAGAAGCTTTATCTTTATCTTCTGAATATGATCAGAGGATGGATTAAGTGCAATATAAATGTGATAAATTGAAGAGGCGTCCCTCCTCTGTTGCTCTGTAAGGTTTCTTACTTTTTTCCTCATTTTAATGATAGAGGGTGTCATATGTCTTTTCCCTTTTTGATGCAGATTTTAGATTTTTGACATGACAATACAAACTCAGTTTGACTTCCTTTTAGCATTTTCTTTGCCAAGCACATTCTGCCTGCAGTACAAGGTTCAGGGCTCCAGTGTTTTGACAGACAAAGATAAAAATATGAAGAAAAACATTTGGAGTGCTAAAAAGACAATTTAGTAGCAGAAATTTAGAGAATGCAAGAGAAAGTGTACAGATAATTAAGGGTCAAGTGGGGTCAGATGCAGAGAGGAGGAGAGAGAGGATGATGAAAGGATAGACAGAAAAGAGTCAGACTAATTTGAGAAATATCCTGTGGGATGTACCAGAAGATCCATTCATGATAAATCCATTTCTAAGGTGTGAGCTCCTCTGTGTCAGTTTCAGGCCTGAATTGATTTATATCAGCTTGCACCAGTGTATTACTGCCACCTAGATGCCAGAATAGAGACCTACATGTATCATTTTTTGTTTTGTTTTTGTTTTTTGTTTTGTCATAGATGTCAATAACTTGCTCATATTCGATCAGTCATTCACTTATTCATTAACCTGTATGTTCTTTGTAAGGGATGCTCAGCAGTTGTGACCTCTCTTCTTCTTCTCTGTAATCATTTAGGATTTGTATCGTCAACAAGTATTAGGCTCATATGTTTCATCAGCATTGTCTCACCTTATTTTCTGTGTATCATTCTCACCGCCCCGTTCTCCACGCACACCTGTTGGTCCTTTGTTCATTCAGTGTCATTCATTGCTCCTTGTGCTCCCCTGCAACAGCTGCAGCCCCAAGAGATAAGCCCGCCCCCCACCGCCAACCTGGACCGCTCCAATGACAAGGTGTATGAAAATGTGACAGGATTGGTCAAAGCTGTGATCGAGATGTCGAGCAAGATTCAGCCGGCTCCTCCAGAGGAATATGTTCCCATGGTCAAGGTAACCGAGGCACTCAACACATTTATTTCACTCCTCAGTAGCTTTTAATTAATCTGTTTCTGTTCTCAGTTTTTCTCTCTTGAGCTGAAAACCTTGACCTTAAAATTTGAAATCAGACATTAGTGCTGTTCTGTTTATACAGTTTTATGTATTCTGTCATTGACCCTGTTTTATTGAAAATGACACTGCTCTATCCTCTTCAGAGGGCTGAATTTACTCAAAACTTGTGATTCCTCTGTTAAGCAGGCTCTACAGAACTGACCTCTTAGCCTCACTACATGATGAATTTAATTGTGGGAATTTAGTTAATTTCCTCCACGCTGGTTATATTAATCGGTGTAGGAAATATTATTTAAATCTATTCTGATCTAAAGCTGATGTTTTTATTAATGAATTGAATTCATTTCCTAATTTTATTTCTGTTTTGTATAATTTTGAATCTAGTCTGAGCAGAAAGGTTCTGTATTTGTGTGTTTCAGGATGTGGGTCTGGCATTGAGGACGTTATTGGCCACAGTGGATGAGACTCTACCACAACTTCCAGCCAGTACACACAGAGAGGTAAAAACACACTTGCACTAAACACACACACCGATCAGCCCTAACATTGTGAGCACTGACAGATGAAACGAGTAACACTGATTATCTGGTTATCATGGTACCTCTCAGTGGGTGGGATATATCAGGCAGCAGGTGAAAAATTTTGATGGCTTGACGACTGGGTCAGAGCATCTCCAAAACTGCAGCTCTTGTGGGGTGTTCCCGGTCTGCAGTGGTCAGTACCATCAAAAGTGGTCCAAGCAAGGAAAAACTGTGAACCGGTACCCAGGTGGTCATAATCTTATGGATGATCGGTGTACACACACACACACACACACACACACACACACACACACACACACACACACACACACACACACACACACACACACACACACACACACACACACACGTGGAAGCGTGGAATCACTTATCATCTCTTATGATTAAATGTTGCTAAAGGGTTTAAAATCACTCATTTGCTCTAGTATTGATTGGTATCAGATGGATATATAAAATGCTCTGTTGTTGTTTTTTTTAACAGATCGAGATGGCTCAGAAACTTCTGAACTCTGACTTGGCAGAGCTGATTGGGAAGATGAAGTTAGCCCAACAATATGTAATGACCAGGTAGGTTCAAACATTACAATGTATGAAGAATATGTTGGAAGACATCATGAAATTTATATGTAATAGATGGTCTAGCTGATTAATATTTTATTACAGTTTATTGTATTTATACAGTGGATGCAATCAACCACAGGGATCATTATTATTTCATTTAGGGACACTAATAAATACAGTTAAATACTCAGAAATAATGTTTAGTCAATGTCTAGAAAAATGTCAAAACAGTAACACAGGGTAACATTTTCACCAAATGACATGAGCTGTCTTTATCAGATTTTTGATTGCTTTACAAAAGGCCGGCAAAGTCAGTATTTTAAAACTGAACAAATAGTGGTCGCATTGTGGTACTCACTCATTCATCTACCCGCTTTCACCAATCTGTGTAAGTAATGTATGTGTGTATATGTTGCTAGTCTCCAGCAGGACTATAAGAAGCAGATGTTGACAGCGGCTCACGCTCTTGCAGTCGATGCTAAGAACCTGCTGGATGTCATCGACCAATCACGGCTCAAGATGATGGCCCACTCCCGCCCACACTAACCCCACGTCAGTTGAGCTGACCAACAGGAGCTGGTCTGCTATTTGAGAGACAGTGTCACTATGGTTACTGTTAGTAGTGGAGAACTAAAGACTCCTGGATTAATGACGTCAATCATGATATGTGAGAGTTGTTGGAGCTGACCGCTTTACATCAAAGGAAACAATGGCTCTGATACTTAGACAACAGTCCGTGAAGAATTGTTAGATGTTGAATCCTGTGTAAACTGCGGTAGTCCATTCATCTGGGATAAAACTCTCCACCACTGTGACTTTCTTAATACAAGAACAGAGCAAAAACACTTCCTGAATCAGGGACTTGGCAGCTTCACCCTCTTTGGACTGGAATATAATGAGGAGGGGAGGAAAAGTGAAGAGGAAGATGACTGTGGGTGACTATGGGTCCGGACCTGAATCACTATCATGGGAGCGATCGGGTGTGGAACTGTCGACATCGAGTTGATTAGTCCTGGTAGAATACAACTCTCGCGCAAAGCCATCAGAACTTGATCGGTCTGCGTTTGATCTGCAACATATCTGCATGAAACTCAACGGTGGGAACGGACTCAGACGTCAGCCAGCAGCCATGTTGGTACATTTGTTGATATCACATGTTTTTGACCCCTGGATGTGAACCTGCTCCTCCGTTGACATAACTCCACACCACCATGGATTCTAGTGACTGGGCAAATCAAACCAGATGTTTTCTATTCAGCTGCGGTGCTTTGAGAGGACGCTTCAACGAAGAAATTCAACAGCAAAGACGGTCTCGGTTTGGTTCGGAGAAGCAGCCTCCCACCCCTCCCTTGCTCCTCCCGCTTCTCTCTTCTATCGATTCCCGTCTTCCCTTCGTCTCACCAGGTTTTATTTATAGACTCAGAAATTGCAGAGGAGGAGACGGAGGGAGAGAAGGGAAGAGCGTATAAAAACTTGAGGACAGTCTAGCGCCAGTCTACTGCCTGAAGATAGAACACACTATTGTCCTCTCTGCTCTCTATTTCACTCACTTTTCTTTCCTTTAGTTCTCACTTTCCCTCTCTCCTTCCTGAAGTCTTCCTCAGCTCCCCCTGAGCAGGTTTTAAAGACTCCAAATGTGAAGAATCCAACTCTGTCTGGGTGAAACGCCGCAGACAGGAAACTCCCTACTCGCACTCAGTTTAGTCTACTCTCTTCATCTGCTGGCTCCATGTTTTTTGTGTTGTTTACTGCAGTCACACTCTTCTTCCTCAATACTGATATTCAATCCCAGCATTGACTCTGATGAGCATAAATGGAAAAAAAAGGTAGATTCTGGGGATTCTCCCTCTTTATCCAGGAGGCAGAGGAGGGCATCATGTCTCAGACTGATCACTGAGCTTGACTTAACCTATTTCTGTCTCCTCTTTTTTCTCACCCACAGCCCCAATAACGTTCAGTTGTTGCTCATATAAGACTGCTCACACCTTTTTAGTGTCCCCTCACCCACCAGTGTCACAAAGTGAATTTACCCGAGGACACAAACAAACCTCACAACTGGAACCTTTGTGCTTTTAGTCCCAGTTTCTGTCAGGTGTAACTCTTTAAATATGTCCCTCCTAACAACCGGCAAACGAACACACATGTAATGTGGAGCCACACGACTGGAACTTGTCTTGTTGACACAAAACACTGAACTGAAAATACAGCAGATCACATGTGTCTTTGTTAATATTGACCCCACGTGGAGTATGACATACTGCTATATGAAATATACTGGTGACTGTACTGGTATAGCATGATATACTGGTATGGAGAAGAGCATATTTGCACAGCACCAAAAAAAAAATCATATCTTTTTTAGCCCTATGTTACCCAGATTGGATTTCCATGTTTACTCAGCAATGACATTATCAGATATCTGGGCTTTATAGGGATAAAAAATGTAAAAAAAAAACAAACAAAAAAACAATCTATTTTATCTCCTTGTTGTTGCGTAAATCTGCTCATGTTGGTATATTGTAAGCTATACTGGTGTGTATCACTGGTGAATTGTACAGAACTCGTACTAGTAAACACTGGTTTTTATTTTGTCTTCTGGGCTAAATCCGCCATCGTGTCAAATAGGAGGGGAAAAAAACAATGAAATAAAACAATGTCGAAATGGAAATCAGACTGTCCACATTCTTATCCATGACAGAGATTTATTTTAAAGCACACATTTCAGGTTTCATATGTCCAGTATCTTTAAGTTGTCCTGGTTCCAAAGTCTTAATATTGTGTTTGGAATATAAATGATTTGAAGTCTTAAAGCCAAAAATGAGAAAGTGATTTTGGTCATTCCCATGATTGTGTCAGCAGGGGAAGGATCTAATGAATAGAGCCAACTCATACTGCTGTATCTATTATGACCCTCTAAAGTGGTTGTAGGCTTTATTTTGTACCCATTCATTAGACTACAACCACGGTACGGCATGAATTTGATTGTTAAGCATGGTATTCACATCCCTAAGATTTCAATGGAAATATAAGTGTTAGAACGCTGAGAAATTCAGTGTCAAAACCATAATTTCACATAAAATCAGCATTTACATACAACAGTCACATTTAAAACATCTCCAACTAAATAAGTTTAACAGTCTTTACATGAAGCATTATGTTCATCATCCCTACATTGTTCTAAACACAGCAGCAGTGTCATTTAGCTTTTGACGGCACTGGTTGATCGCACTGACCTTAGTGTGACAGCAGTAATAACACACCTACAGCCAAAAGCAGCAGTGTTGTATGTACGTGAACGGACTCAGCTCCACTGAAGTTACACAAGTTAAAGCTGTTGCAGCAGTTGACCGTGTTTCCGTTTCCGTTTGAGTCCACTGAGGCGGTCGAGGCAGCTCCGTTACATGTGGCTTTGCTGGCACACTGCTTCGTTATGGCTTTTGAAGTGCCTGGATACACACACACACACACACACACACACACACACACACACACACACACACACACACAGCAGGATGTTTCAGTGAACTGAATTTGGACAAGCCTTCATTAAAATTGCCTCTATCATCAAGGAACATCAGAGACATGTTCAGATTCAATAATACATTTCATACTGGATCCTGAAAATCTGCAGTTCTTTACATTCTCAACCAGAGATCTGATATTATGTTTTCCTTGTTACCGAAAGTGTCGATGACGGTCATGCAGGTGTCCAGTAGTGCTTGACACTCTTGGGTGTTATTGTTGCATTCTTCATTGGTGGCAGAAGAGGTGCAAACGTAGCACTCCAGTGACCACACTGCAGGCACGAGGAACAAGGTAAAAACAGACACATGATTGATGAAGTTAGATAAAATAAGAAATCCAGTTTGTTGATAAAAGTTAAGTGAAAAAAAAACCCACACAGGGTCTTGTTGAGAGGCCTCAGTCAAGAGAAACAATATTATATAATATATATTACACCAGTATTTTGATGTTTTTGACATTTTAATATTGAGCCAATGGTTTGGTTGTGTTACTGACGGTTTGGGGAAAAACCTAATTTGTTTAAATAAAGTTATTTATTCACTCAGCCACTTGATTTAGGTCAGATTTATATTTTGAATCTTAAAGAAGTTAGGAGAGTTAAAAGTTGAGTATTGAGCATATTATTTTTAGAATTGCTATTGAAAGTCATAACGAATAAGTATAATTGACTTGACTGGAATGAGATCTGGTAGTTTTTGCTGTATTTATGACGGGAACTCACATATTTCTGAGAATGACGGTTGTTCCTTATCTAACAGTGCAAGCATTAAGAATCATGATCAGGCACCTGATTGTCTGCTCCTGCACTGAAACCAAAGCCTAGAATTAAAATGAACCTCAGCAGACTGAGCTTATTAGATATTTTCAGTCTGACTGACTAGTTATTATAAATGATAGAGTAGAGTAGAGAAACCTTTATGATAAACTACAATGTCACATCAGAAATCCCTTAAAATAGAAAGACAGCTACTCCCAAAGACAGCATTGTTAAAACTTGTCAGGCTTGCTTCTTTAATTACAAGGAGCACTGCATTGAGGCTGCATTCTATTCCTCCCAGTCAAAGATTATTGTTCTGTTCTCTTATGTCATCGGACTGATGCATTACGGTAAACACGTGCCAACCAACATTTATTTATTCTTTATTTATTTATTAATCATACTGGGATTAATTAGGTGTAGAGTAACCCAAGTAGAACAAAATAACAAACACTGAAGGCCCAAAGGAAGAACCTCAAAGGTAGAAATTAGACGGACAGGGATATCTTTAAAACTTTTCTTATTTCTGCTGTGCCTAAAGTTACAAATCCTCTATTAAACATGTTAGTTACACCTTTCCAGTATGACTGCGTTCACTCTGGAGCCACTGAAACAAATAGTAAGGACATTGGAGGTCTTAAAAACATGCCTAAGCCACTGACACAAGTATTAACCAAGATAAAGCAAGATCACAAAATATGCATTGATAACAACACAGCCACCCTGATAACAAAAACCCTCTCGGTTTTTGTTCATTCCTTGATTATTTTGGATAAATCTGTCATATTGTGTTCATTCACTATTATGTATCAACTGTTCCGTACAATCAAAAGCAGGTCTGTATATGTTCAAGAACAATTGGGAGTGATATGAAAGAGTTGTAATTTTGTTCAAACTTTCAGCTTTAGGCATCTAAGAAATTTAAGAAACAGCTCTAGAAGCACCTGATATTTAACTTTTAACTTTAGTCAGTTCAACTAACCTCATGTTTGCCATTCTAAAGCATGATGTATCTTTGATTGCAGCTAAAACAGACAGGAGGGAGCACTCATAGGTGATTTTAGTCTCTTTCGAATGTCTCTAGCAACTGATGACCTCCCTGGATCCCCTATTAGATTTATTCAATCATGTACTCAGGTAAACCCCTGATGTCCTGACTCTTACCCTGCCCGTGTATAAAACTCACAAGTGAGTTTGCCCCTAAAAAAAAAAAGGCCTATTGTTTGAAGGGTCTGAAGTTAACTTTACATACCTGGAGAGACGAAGAGGGAGAGGAGGATGAGGCCGAGCAGCATCTTCATAACAGGAGTCAGCGTCTGTTCACGTCCTGAACCTGCGCTGTCTGCTGCCAAACCTGGTGTGTCATGCTCTGTGTATGTATGTGTGTATATGTGTGTATGTGTGTATGTGTGTGGTTTCTATTGTTTGTTTTACAGGAGCACTTGATCACAGCAGTTCCACCCACATCATCCACCATCATGGTATGACACTGAAAGCATCTCACAATTTTTTTTGTTTTGCAGTGTGCAGGACATTCTTAGATCTTGCTGTGGTTTCACTGATACTTGTCTTTTTATTTATCTGCTGTCAATCACAGACACAGGGTGGCGTATGGAGTTAAAACAGCCACTAACTGAAACACAGTCTGTGTCTCTGCAGGCTGTGTTATGTCATGACTCTATGACTCGAGTATGTTCAGTTTAACCTGTGCTGCAGGACACAGTGTTGTTGGCTTTCTTTTCTTTAGTCGAGAGGGAACTCCCATTTGTGACCAATTATAATAATCAGAATCAGAATCAGAATCAGAAATACTTTAATAATCTCAGGGGGAAATTACTTAAATTAATTATTATTATTAATTATTAATCAACAAGATTAAACAGGATTACAGTCAAGTCAAGTAAAATTTTATTTATATAGCCCACAAACACAAATCATAATTTGCCTCAGGGGGCAAGTGTAGACATTAAAGCAATATATGCAGGTCCCTTCTGTTTTACAGGGCTTTATAGCAAGTTTTAGCTCATTGTTTAACCGTTTAGCCTCAACTTTACTGTTTTGGTTCGCTCTCTCCTCTCTCATAGAGCGCCAAAGTCATGGCCTAACATCCGGGTTAATCTCTGTTCCACTAGCTTCTGTAACTCGAGGCAACCTCTCATTCAGCTCTTTCCTCACTTTCCTGTTAGAGAAATCAGCACTCACTACAGCAGTTGCTAAAAGAAAGTGAAACCTTCATGATTCTAACAAAGTTGAACAAATATTATCTTTGTGAGCACAAAAATAAACACACGCCTGGTACTTCCATTAATGTAACTTGGTTTTGTTCACATCCTTAAAACTTATCTTATCCCTCCTCTAAAGTTATTTTTTAAGCTGTCTAAACACTTGTTAAGCGTTAATTAAGCAACATTATATATTATATATTATATATTATATTGTTTTTCAAAAAAACGCAGTTCTTATCCAAACACATGAAGCAAGCTACACTGACTGTTGATAGTGGTTATGTTCAAAGGTTGTATTTTTAGTTGTTAGAAACATCTAGCAGCTAAACAGCAAGACATTTCCCTCAGTAGTTGAAACCAAAAAGAGCTAAAAGGAGGGTTAATATTGGACTTTATTATTGGAATGCTAAAGCCGCTCTGTAACTACAGGCACTATAAATATGCAACTGTTTGCTAACCAGTTCACTTATCAAATTAAAGGGTGTTGATATGTCAATGTTGTGTTCATAGCTTGTTTCTGCTGCCCCCAAGTGGCCCAAAAAATGATTGAAGGTTAAAAAGTAGACATTATCTTCCCAAATGATTTGCAGCCACATCCCTCAAACTAAATTACAGACTAATTTTGCTCTTCCACTGGCGCCTGAAAACACTAAAGCACTGCATGAATGAGGTCTTGCTAGACAAGACAAAAACTTACCTGACCTGACCAACAACATCGCACTATCCCTGACTAACACTGAACACCACTGTGATCCCACTTACTGTAAATAAAAACAACAGATTTTATGAAACAAAGGTTTTTTCTCACTGGATGAATATGTTGATTTTTTAAAAATATTTATAATTTGAAGACAGTAAAATGTACGTCACCCTCTATCTGCCACATCACATCTGTCCAGTGCTAACACAGGAATGCACCAGTACACACCCAACACTCACACACCTAGTACACACCCACTGCAGCTCACATGCAACAAGTGGTTTTTGTTTTTTGGATTCTCTTTCAATTTACCTATATTTCCTGATGCCAAACCTGAACCTTAATGAGACACAGTGAGGATATTTATTCACTCCTTGAATATTAAGACAATAAAAACAAACACACACAATGCATGTGAGGGAAATATGAAACTTCCTTAACACAAACCAGTCAAGCAGTTGCCATGATTACCAGTCTGCTGTCTGTGTTGTCTCCTGATTGCACGTGTTGATAGGCATACTGGCACACACACACACACACACACATACACACACGCACATCAACCCACACACACAGTAGCTGATTGAAGTGATTTGCATAAACCTTTATTCCATATTATTAAAAAAACAAGCACAATGCAATAAAATAATAAAAAAACTAATTAGAATTTTGTAAATTATTCTCCAGCTTCAAGCAGTTCCGTCAGCAAAAAAGCGGAAATTAGTGCAGAGATCAGTGTAAAACAATCATAATAAACAGCTGGATAAAATTTGGAGAATTCATTTACAGTAGATAAATGTTTCTTCATATTATGTGATGCATTTGTGTGCAGAATGAAAGGAAACAGACTGAGCAGCTGTTCTAAGTCCTAATGCATTGCAGGGATTTCATAGACACATGCTGTAAGGATATTAGCGATAAGTGGTCAACTTGCTGGCAGTAGTGCAATCTCTTTTTATATGTTATATAACATTTCAAAGTAAGAATTTTTTTAAATAATACAGTAGAGACTGTATGTAATATGTGATGGAACATTAAGGAAGACAAAACAGACTTTATGTAATGACATTTTAGACATACAAGACTAACATCAAATCTACACATCAGGTAGATCAAACTAAATGAAGAGTAAAAGTGCTTCATGTTGCTGGTCTGATCTTCTCATTGCTGTCTGAGGCCATGTTGCTTAACTGCAACCCTGCGGGACCCCCCTGTCTGTCTATCATTACACACTTGTGTTGCAAAGCTATGCAATGTTAAAACCACAGAAATGTATTTTAAACTCTAGCCAGGATCATAACGTTTCAAAAGAAACAAAATATGTTGCGTTAAGTAATTGTGCAACCTTACAAATTGTGTTGTCTTGGTTTAAATATTTCAGTTTATATAAACATAAATCTTCATATAGCTTCACTTCACTTTTTTTTTTCTAAATTATTTTATCAGTCATTTTATGCCTGTATTTAGGGGCGGCACCAGCTTCATTAAAATATTAAAGTCAATTTTAAAGGAGAATCATGGTTCAAGCTTATGACCCCGGTCTGAATACATAACCCCCTTATGTGTGCATAAAAAGCAGAATCAAGCAAATACACGTTACGATGGTGGAACAATACTGTTGATATTCTTCTTGAAAGGCAGGCCAGCATAATATGTGAAGCAGAGAGTGTCTGTATGGGAATGAGTTCAGTCATGGTAGCAGTAAAGGGGAAGCTTCACTGATGCCGAGCAGCAAACAGCAGCACCGTCAGTGTACAGCAGTGAAGAGTCAGAAGCAGAACAGCTCATCTTGGATAAGTTTGAAGTTGCTATGGCACACCTGGCCAAGTGTCCTGCCTGAGTGTCCGTTTTACAACTTCAGCCGTGTTTCAAAGATGAGTTTTTGTGTGTTTGTGTATTCATTTCAGAAAAAGGAAGGAGAAGAATTCTCCTCATTGAGTCTTTAGTTTCTTGCTGTGGGTCCCAGACTCTCGCCTCCTGGCCTTGGGAGCGTAGCGTCTGGTAGAGATAAGAGATGAAAGCAGGATTGTATTGTTATTAGTTCCCAAACATCTTGATATCCCGTATATTCGAACATGAGAAAGTAAAAGAAACCTTCACACAAGTGAAGTCTGCTACCAAGATTCAGTGTGTCTAAATTCCAGCATGTGTTTTGTAGTGTTTGGGTATTTTGTCAGGGAGACTTTTCAGTGTTTGCATGTTCTATGTAAATGTTTCGTAGTACTGTGTGTGTGTGTGTGTGTGTGTGTGTGTGTGTGTGTGTGTGTGTGTGTGGGTGCGTGCGTGCGGGTGCGTGCGTGCGTGCGTGCGTGCGTGCGTGCGTGGAGTGTCCTACCTTCGTTGGTAGAGGTAGAGGAAGAAGAGGAGCTCGTCTCTGAAGCAGGAAAGTTGATGTGAGGAGGAGAAGGATCCAGAAGAGGAGAAAAGGGAGGCACAAGAGCACAGATCTGAGATCAGCGTGTTCACTCCCTGGTGGGGAGAGGAAGGAGGAAAGAGAGAATAATGAACTCATCAACTAGAAACATCTTGTTTGGAGTTTAATTAAAAACTATATTCAGTCTATATTCAGGTGATTATACACTAATGAAAACATACCTAATATTAGTAATATTATATTTAATTTCTATATTCCAACCATTTAAAATGTTCGAGAACCAAAACACAAAGCTAATCTGCTTTTGGCTGCATAAAGTATGTTACTATTTGTGAATGAGCCAGAGAAACATTTTCACACTCACTCTGTACATCAACACTGTCCCCTGCAGGTGGCTCACAGACTTCAGCTGATCCAGAGAGAAACACAAAGACGGAGAGTCAGGAACAGTTCATAGTCATTTACAATATTTTGATTATTTTCATTAGTTGCAGGACAGACCTTGTGGTTGATGAAGAGCTGTGGGGCCATAGACAGGAAGCCAAAGGCATACACTCCTGAGAGGAAGAGAGTTAAGGTGTCATTGACTTAATGTAATAAGAAAAACTGAATAGAATTCAATCAATTACATTGAAAAACATAATAAATGAACTGATGGATCACATAGATGAACTTGTTTCACTGGTATAAATGGATGTAAGTCGACTCACCGGTCACCAGGCTGTTGATCAACCAGGAATAGTAACTGTCAAAAACATTGAATGCAATTTAATGTTAATCTAATAATGAGGTGTATATTTTTAATATATGTGTAGAAGCTGCTTGGTCCGTGCATTATAACAATTATATTAGAAACCATTTTAAAACCAAAAACATCTTACTTTTATTCAAGAAACATTCAGGTCTGATTTGAATCTGACTGCTTAAAACACTTCAGTACAGCAGGTGGAGAGGAACCGAGATGTAACCAGGAAAGAGTTTGTATTGAAATGTTACAAGTAGACTGCACACATGAGCGTGAAACTTTTAAAGATCCAGTGTGGAGGATTAACTGGATTCTAGCAGCGTAATTACAGACTGAAACTACTACGGCCACGAAACGTACAAAATGGCCTAATCTAGTTTCTGGTTACTGCAGAAAATGGCGGCCTCCATGGAAGGCGACCCGCAGTGTCTGCAGATAATAACGTCTCAAACTAAGGTTACAAAAACACAACAATTCTTATTTTCAGGTGATTAAACACTAATGAAAGCCTATGAATGTTATATGCCATTTATGCCTTTAGATCCTCCTAAACGTTACACACTGGATTTTTAAACTGTGTGGCAGAGCAGGAAAATTTAATACAGTGATCAGCTCACCTCTTTTGGCGCAAATAGGCCAGTGAAAAAATAGCTCCGCTGATACACAGAGGATAGACCAAGTAGGACAAGTATCTGGACGCCTGGAGAGAAAACGACAGACAAAATATGACGTCAGAATATAAAATCCGATGTTCTAACAGACAAGAAAAAGGTGGAACCATACTAATACCTGTGTATCGTATTCCACTGTCTTTCTTTCTTCTTCGTCCAGCTTTTTTACCTACATAATAAGGAGGCAGTCTTGTCAAACAATATATCACTCTACACATGTTAAAACTACAGAGTGGATGGCTAAATGGCAGCACACTCACATAGAGTCTGGAGCTTTTCCACTGCAGCTGGATGTTAAACACTTTGAACACTTTCCACACCTGCCGGGATAAGAGGTTAGTTTTGGTTCATCTGTTTTGATCTTTGACACTTTCTGTTGGAAGAGACGGATTATACCAAATACCTCTACACACGCTCCCAGTCCAACAGGAAGCAGCACCAGTAGGCTGGTCTCCTCTAGCAGATGGAGGAAAATCAGCAAAGTACTGAGACTACGCCACAGAACTACAGAGAGGGCGGAGACGGGAGGAACAGTTAGTCTTACTTTACAGCCAAACTATAATTGAATGTTGTTTATCTTTTCTGGTAAGCCCTGTGCAACAAAGCCTCTAGTATTGCAATCTAGTTTCAAAAATAAAGCTTGTATAATTTGATGATTTTCTCACCAGACTTCCTGGACATTCCTGCCATGCTCTTCTTTTTTCTCCACGAGCTGAAGTCATTTTTAAGAGCCAAGAATTCACAGATGAGCTGTAGATAACATGAGGAGAATTATATTCCCTCATGACACTATGCTACATATAGAGAGACTGGGATTTATCAGATAATTCATAATTTAATGAGATGGCTTCTTGTGTTTTTTGTGACATTGTGTGATCTTACTTGTAGAGCTGTGATGAGTGCAGTCAGCACTAACAGGTAGAGGTTGGAGTCCACCAACGTCTCTTTAATCTCATCTATGTTCTCCTCTGTGAAGCCTATATATCAAAACACAATGCAAGATCAGAGGAATTAGTTTGGTTCTCCTGACTGTAGGATAAGAAAAGTTAACTTAAATAATAAATTAGACTCCTATGACCTGTGGTTAGGGTTAATTCATTCAAAGGTTATCTAATTCAAAATGCAGTTCATAAAAATAACTGCAATTTTGTAATAACTACCACATCATGTGGGAAAATGTATTACATATTGGGTCCAGGCTGTTTATTACTAAATGAGCTGATTGTTATAAAATGCAGGTGTTATCACATAATGAAGTAAAAATTCATATATATTCAATATAATGCAGTGTTGCTAAATAATGTGTTGCTACACAACTCCTCAAACATAATTAGGTTTTATAACAATAGAAACATAGTTATAATTTGTCCTCAGAACTATTAAATAGACTTCTGAATACACCAAAACTGGAGACCACATCCTGCCTGTTATTAGCTCACCAAACTGTCGCAGGGAATAAACAACATCCTGTAGATGCACCCAGAACCTGAATCCCCTTAAAGAGATTCCCTCATAGGACACTGTCAGAGGGAGCTGGGCAGTGCTGCTGCTGATCTCCTACGGATGTATAAATACATATATGCAAGGTCATTTCATACAAACCCCAGTATTTATTAGTCAAGTGTGTAAATCGTCCTACCACGAGGTCTCTGACTCTGAAGCTGAGCTCATTAACCAGCAGCAGAGGGAGGTAGATCATCTGTTGGCCATCCTGAGAGCTACAAAGAGAGACAGGAAGAAAGGTTCATTTAAATATTTTACTTTACAGCCCAGTGGAGTTGCAAGGAGAACAACAAGAACAACTATTATGTTAAGATCTAGATTCATTTTACAGCACATGTTCTTAACTATTTATTGTCATAGAAGTGTGTAGTTTGTGAAGAACAATATATATATACCAGTGGTTACCACACAAAGGGAACACAAAGTACATAAACACACAAAAAAATGTTTCCTGACTTTGTTTTTGCCTCTAAAGATTACAGATATAGTCTGATATATACAGGATATATGCTACCGGGTATACAGATAAAACATATGTGTTAAAGCAGAACAGAATGTGAGCGTGTGTTGGCTTTTCTCACAAACAGCCACTGTAGCACCGGAGCGTGCTGATGGGTAGCAGCAATAAAGCCGAAGTCAGCAGCTCTCTGAGTGATCACCCGGCTTTGACCTCCAAAGCTTCCTGTGACTTACACTCTCATGTAGCGCCGCACATCACTAGGAAGCCCCGCCTTGTTGAAGGTGAAGTCCTCTGACATCATAGTGATTGACAGGTGTGGTCTCCAGTGGGATACAGGATTCTCTGATCTGGGACTGGGCCTCTGATGGAGACACAAAAATAACTCATTTGCAGCAGGGGCCATATTTCTGCACTACTGTAAAGGTGACACGGTGGCAGAAATATGATAGGACTATGGCAGATATTGAATTTTACCTTCTGCTTGTCTCTCTGCCCCTCAGCGTGTGTGGGAACGATGTAGGTGGTGAGCTGAGCTGCGTAGTGGACTTCTCTGCTGTCCTCCAGAGGTGACACACCAGCTTTGTGAACATATACGACTGCATACAATGTGCCATTAGCTCGAGTCTCCTGTGGCAGAGAGACATTCACATGCCTATAGAAAGAGAGAGAGAGAGAGAGAGAGAGAGAGAGAGAGAGTCAGTTAAGACAACAAGCCTCATTTACAAATCTGCTTCTTTGCTCTTAATGAATGATGCTCACCATGGTGCTGTTTGTATTCTAGCATTAGCAAACCTACAGTGTGAGAGATGCACACTCCTCTAATGGTGATGAGGAGGAAGTCTTGTCTGATTAAAATCTGCATGATGTACCAGCGTGTCACACCCACCTTTCAAATGTAGAGTGAGGGTCAAATGGGTCTATCTTCACAGCCAGGTGGAGTTGGCTGTTGTCTGGCACAAGGCAGGTGAAGACACTCAGCTGGTTGAAGCAAGACAGAAGAAGAAAATAGATTCAAAGCAGTATTCCCATTTTTTTTTTTTTTTTTTTCAAAAGCTTTGACTCCAGTTCTAAAATGAGATGCAAACAGAAACAGCTGAAAGGAAATTTGAGAACAAAACAGAAAGACCTGCGCAGGTTCCAAAAATATGTAGCCTACATTGTGTTTATTTTAATGATTGAACTGACCTCAAACTACACTTTCTGAGGCTGAACTAGCTACCTGACAATTATCATTTTTACAGCTGTGGCTGGTTAGGTTTGGGAATAAAAAACATCTTGGTTAGGGTCTGTTCATATATCACATATACTCGATAGATAATGTCCCCAGTGTGGGATCAATAAAGTCTTATCTCAATCTGTGAAACATCCACAGACAAAGCTAAACTGTTGAAATGTTACAAATACTCAAATAAATTAACATGAAACAAAATTTAATCTAAAAAATAAATAAATAAATAATAGAGAAAAGCTAAATGCATTATTTTACTAGACTAACTGCCTTGCAGACAGCATGTGGTTTGCCAAAGGTTTAATACTGAGGACTACTGGCTAATAACACGAGGAAATGGCAGAGTCTGTTTAGTTATTGTCAACTACATATACAGGCCTGTTTACTTGAGCTGGATCCCACAGAGTCTCGGTTTCCCCAGTTTGTCTGTCTGCCATGAGGACTAAGAAATAAGACACAAAGGCCTGCGCTAACCTGTAGTCTGGGTCTCGCTGTCAGGTAGGAGGCGATGCAGTGCTCCCCTCTCCCTCCATCGCAGGGTTTGGTGTTGAGGAAGCCGCACAGCAGCCAGACGGTGTGGAGCATATAAACCACAAAGACCCCGAGCAGCAGCTTAGCGATGGAGCTCCGTTTAGCGCCGCTGTCCGCGGTCTTAGAACAACACGATGGGAACATGGCAGCAATCAATAGCGAAACAAAAAATAACAACAAAATAAAATAAAAATGGACGGGGTCTGGTTTTGAGGACGGAGTTGTTTATAATGGGATACAGCGTTAACACAACACAATCCCCACGCTTCCTCTCTGTCACAGCATCCTTCCGGTGATCCGCATCCAGCGGAGAGATGCTGATGCTGCTCACACCCCAGCGGCTGCGCTTACACCGATTCACCAATCCTCTAATCCTCTGTCCACATCTCGCGAAACCGTGAGCACTGAGCCCACACATACACGCACATACACACATACATAGACATACAAGCACACCGTGTTTGTCCCAAATATTGTAAAGCACACAGGTAATATACAGAGTTTGGCTGTGTATGGGCAGAGCCACTTTGCATGTAATGGATATTATTTCCGGGAAACTGGGGTTTAGCAAAGGGGAAACATAGGTTATTATTTAGACTGACTTCAGTATTTTCCCCTTCAGTAGGCCTATATATAAATTAGACAAATTATAGACCAACAAAATAGACAAATGATCAGTATTTCTCCATCAGAATTTGTATCCCTGTCAACCGAGAGGGCTTAAACACCATTTAGATCTTTATGTTGAGATTAACTTCTTCCACAATTCCCTAATAATTTCCTGGAAATAGCTATGTAAGTTGTATTATTATAGGGAAACATAACAAAAATGCTTTTTGGCGTCTATATATGAAAGGCCATTTTCTCAAGGAAAATTAAAAAGTTAAGCATAATTAAAATAAAAAAAATACTCACGGGAGCCTATAAGATCTAACTAGACCTGAAATTGTGATTCCCATATACCAAACAATTAACTGAGAAAAACAATTGGCTAAAATAATATTTAGACCTAATTGCAACCCTACTATTAGCTCACTATCGCACAGTTAAGTGATTAATCATTGGAATTATTGAGTCAAATGTTTGAGTTAGGACATTTGACTTAGAAGTACTGTTTTATTTCGATCATGAATAACTTTATTTTTTATTTCTTTTCGTGGCGGGAATACACCATATTTGGGGTTCGACTCATGACTTCCATATATATATAATATATAATATATAGCCTAATATATATATATATATGTACTGTCAATGGTCCAACCTCTACTCAAAATGTAACTTAACGTTACATCAGCTTTTACAGCCCGAGTGATTTACTTTACTAGAGACGATCTTTGGACGCCGGTCTTGTCCCCGCGGTGCATTGTGGTCCGGAGCAGCGCTCTTGCTCCTGTCCTCCTGTATGCTAGCTCCCTTCCATGATGCTAACCTGAGCAACAACAACAACAACAACAACAACAACGTGTTTACAGACTCAAACAGAGCCGGTGCGTTGATTCAGGAGAGGGTGTAGTTAGCTGCAGGTAACTGAACCGTGTTACTCGTGTCTTTGTTTACTGTCAGTCCGGTTTTAAATGGATAATCCCTGAGAGCACAAGCTGTCTCCTGATAGCAGCTAATGTAGCTAGCACAAGACGCAGAGCTCTTGAAAGCCTTGTGAATAAAGTTACCCCAGCTACAGGTGGATACGTTAACCAACATTTACTCATACTCTAACTATTATGTAATGTTGTAGCAGCGGATATGGACTGCCTCCTCTAGCAAACACAGAGGGACCACTATGGAGATGACTCAAGGACTATAAACACTTTTTTGTTTGTCTTATGGAGGCTAAATCGTTTGCTCCACCATTATTCCTTGCTGTTGTGTGTTTTGTGGTGTCCTCGCTGCAGCAGTGGTGAATATCAGCCCTCCAAACCCCGTATGGCAGCCTGTGTGAAGGCTGTGTGTGCTGCTGGTGGCGGCGGCGGCGTGGAGATGACAGTACACAGGGTGTTGCTGACTGGCTGTATGAACTGCACTAGGATGTATCTGCCACTTGGTGGGAACTTTTATCCAAAGCGCCTTTACAGCTCTGTTAGTCCTTTTCCTTCGAGAATGGGTGGGACTCGAACCTTCATGCTCTACCCTCTGAAGTACACTGTGACACTCGGGAACAGAAAACCGGGATTGTACAGCAGGGGCTACGGCGACCTCGGTTCAAATGCCCTCTGCAGTCTGACACTGCCTGTGTCAAGATGTGAACCCAGAAGACCTCAGTCTGCTGCGGGGAGGAAGGAGGAGCTGCTGCAAGGAGGTGCAACATGGCCCGGTAAGAATGAGAGACAGGTTGGATATGTGCTGCTTTTACATGGTTTGCTGTTGTCAGTTTTATTTGTTGATAACTGAACGCTGATTTATTCTGATTGCAGGACTTGTATTAGTACTGTGTTCATGTTTCAGTACATTATAGCCAATAGGTTGGAGGTGATCTAGAAACACTTTATTCTTTCCATAGTTTGTCTAACAGACTTGTCTATTTGTTGACTGTACATTGTTTTTTATGAATGTATGTAAAAATGTAAATATCAGGGATATGTTGATATGATATATTTGATTTCTTAGATATTAGTCTCAAAAATCTACTATCACCCATGTTGTAGTCTACACATTTTAACTGTAGATACTTTTTTAATATAGAAGATTATTAGATAAAGAACAGCTACAATATAGCTCAGATCTAATGTGAACATTTGTACTTTACTCAGTCCTGTTAAACTGGTAATGAAGAAATCTTCATGCTTGTTTCTACGTACTTTAACGATGTATTGCTTAGTTTTTTATTCTATGTACCTATAATGAAATTGTATCAAAGCTGATTTCTGATATAGGTCTATTTAGTAATGGGAATTGATAAGATTTTTTTGATACCAATGCTATTATCAATTCTGCTTATTGGTCTGATTCTTCATCAATTCCCTTATTGATTCCTTATCAGTTTTCTTGTGTGGAAAACAGTCGGCCTACACAGGTTTTCAGTGTCAAAGCAACAGTTTTATTATCTGACTTTCTGAGTGGAAAAGCTCCACTGTTTAATTAGTAAGTGGTTCTCAACTGGACCCGGTTCTGTATTCATATCTCTGGCTGTAGCTTGAGAACTTACCCTACCAACAGTCTGTCCATCCTCCTCTACAATGGATAAAAAAATAATATATGTATGGGGTTTGTTTTCATTAAGGTTAAACCTTTGAATTACATAGAAACATGTTCCAGCACAATGCTGGTGTTCCCAATTATTATTTACAGACATTCAAAGTGTTGTTGTCATAGTTTTTTCTTCAAATGAAGCCACAGTTTGAAACGTTTCTTCCTCTTCGCCATGACTTTTTCTTCTTCTTCTTCTTCCAAGTTTCCATCAGTGTAGGCGCATGAGTTAGACGTCAGTGTTTTGTGACGTGTAACTGTCAGAATCTATAAAAGAATTGATACGGATTGATCGGACAATTTGCCACCGGTTCTCGGTTCCCATCCCTAAAATGCGAGGAGGCTAGGCAGAGTGATAATAAATCAAATTTTGCAGGTTTGATATGCATCTGTTATTTCACTGCGGGACTGTTTTATTCATGATAGTATTGCTGCTGTGTTTCTGTCTCTATAGTAGCAATTGTCCGCCTTTATGTGTGAAATATTTTCCCTTTATATGTGGTTTAACGTTGTCTTTTCTTTGAACAGTGTCTTCTATCCGCAGCAGAATGACAGACACTGCTGTTTCCAGTGTACCTCCATGTTTTGTAGTGGTAAGTGGTTACTGTGCAGTTGTAACCTTTATAAGGTTTATTGTTCTTACTGGCAAGATGCTTTTGGATGAACTGATACAGACTGTTGGATTTTATTAGCTGGATTTAAGACAAATTTCCCACAAGCTTTATTAAACATCTACTAATCTACTGCCATACATTTTATTTATTGCAATACATTAAAAGTGTTGTGAGTTTGAATAACTGAGGTTGCTAAAGTTAGGTAATCAGTTTTTTTATTATTTATTTCACAGATGAAGTTTGACCAAGAGGGAAATGTGACATCATTTGGTAAGTGTTCCAAAATAAATATTATTAATCTTTGATTAGTTATCATTAGTTATCATTCAAGTCAGTTTGTATGTATATAGCCCAAGATCACAAGTGCTTGAGACTGATGATTGCTCTTTAATGAACAAAATGCTGAAAGAAGCCATGTTGTAACGTCTGCTTTTGGTGTCCTATTTCACATGAAGTCTAAAATATATGAAATAAGATGACGTCTATATTGCTCTCTGCCTCTGCTCCTCTTACTGGTGTGATTATTTTTCCCTTTACAGAGAAGAAGAAAACAGAGCTTTGCCAGGAGCTCAGTCTTCAAGCCAGAGACCTTCGTTTCCAGCACAGTACCAGCCTCACTGCTAGAAACAACTGCATTATCATACGAATGGAGGTATGCTCTGTTTCTCTCTTATAAGCACACTTTGTGGTTTATGACATCATTTCTGTTCTCAGCCAAATCTAGATCGTCTTTGACCTGGCTGTTGAACATTTTGAGACCATAAGTCTAAGCCAAACCATTGATAATAACGATTCCTGGACATCAGTATGCTAATTGTTTTGCATGACACTAAAATGTCCTTCTCCTGCTGATGCAGCACTCATTACCTTGTATTATAACTATTTAATCTACCTATTTCAATAATTAAAACAAATAAGGCTGGTCAGGTGTTAAGAACAAAAGAACATGAAAACATAATATCCGGTGATTTAAAACTTGAATAGTTAACTTTTAGTTAACTAAAAATAAAACTGGATTTAGTTGGGACGACATTCTTTAGTCCGCACCACAGTCGACCGTCCTTCAGAGGGCAGGTTGGAGAAGGTGTAGTAGAAGACGCAAGAGTCATCGCGGCTTCTCATTTTACAGAATGCAGTCGTTTGAGGCACATCCTGTTTGGTCTCCACCATCGTCACGATGAGGTAGCCACACTCTTGGTCACACCTGATGATGTGTGAGAGGAAAACAAAGTCAGTTAATATAATGCGTCTGCTTTGTTTACTAAGTTCAATACTGTATTAAATTATTTGTGCTCTCTTAGATAATGGCAAACTGAATTGTACCAATCAATAGTGTTTTATTGCCTGGAGAGATGCTGCAGTTTTTCCAAAGAAACTCTGAATAACACTGGGGAGAGGTGTGTTTTAGAAAAGTGAAACCACTGTTGGGGGGGGGTTGCAGCTAAATTGGACGAACTGAAGTGATTTACAAATCTTGAATTTGCTTAGAACTAGTTTCTGCTTCATTATTCTATTTTGTATTCGTAATTCCCATCTCAAATAAAATTAAGTCCTATTATCATCTCGTGCTATGCCTTTTAATCATAAGTCTTTCCTCAAGTGTTTCATTCCATATTATGCCAACAGCTTGCATTAAAAGCAATCACCTATCCTTCTTTGCTCCTGTCCCGAACGCCCGACACTCCACACACTCCGCGTGCTGCTGACATGGGCCCTGACAAACAGGGCAGTCCTCGCAGGTCGGGCCTGTGTATGGTGGCTCACATACACATATTCCACACTGACACATCCCTCTGTCATTGCACAGCTTCTGGTTGTTTGCCATACAGGAAGCTGTCTCCATTGAGCAGCTGCAGTCTTCACCGGTCCAGTCATCATCACAAAGGCAGTCTCCACACTCGCACCTCCCGTGACCTCCACATATTCTGTCAAATACAACTTTTAGTCTTTTCTGTAATTAAGTAGAATTAAAAGGATTCAGTATATATTTCTTTAGCAGAAAGTGATTACTAATCATCACATATTGTACCTGTCATTGTGGTATGGACAGTCAAAGTTGCTGCACTCGCAGAATTGTCCGGTGTACCTTTCTGTTGGGTTTACTCGGTTCTCGCACTCACAGAAGCCCTCCACGCACTTCCCCCTACCATTGCACACAGGGGCATTGGGGCCTGAGCGGCAGGCGTCTTCGTTTGATGAAAAGAATAAATCAGTGTCCCTCTGGCACTGTTGTCCAAAGTAAGGCTTATTGCACTCACACTGGCCACACACCAGAGCCCCGCGGCCGCTGCAGCCGAGGCTGTTTTCCTCACGGTTCCTCGTGCAGTCACACTGACCTGGGGAAACAACTTTTAATTTATTTGTCACATCATGGACGACAAATGTGTGCTTTTTTTATTAGCAGCATACTGACTATTTCAGTCTTTTAGTTGTTATAAGACTCATTTGATCTCATCATCATCTCAATTTGGGGATTAATCTTATATTGACTGTAGCATGGTTCTGAAGTTGTACTCACACTCCAGAGTTATCTCTAACTTCACACTTTGTGAAAACCCTCTGGGTGTGATGTGGACAGACCAGGGCCCAGTCCTGTTCTGCATCTGGCTTGAGTCATCACTTTCACTGGGACACCGGGCAGCCTCAACATTTACCTTTAGAAAAGACACATTTTTGTTATAATTATTTCCTAATGTCCTGTACAACATATCCATCTTCATTTTGCTGACCTGTACGACCAGGAGGTTTCCATTCACAGAGCTAATAAATGTGACGTTGACTCCCGCTGGCACAGGGGTGGTGTCCATAGCCAGCTCTGCGGTATGCTGGCCTGTAGGCATGGTGATAGTGAGAGGGAAGGATTGTCTCACTCCCGGCCTCAAACGAAGGGAGAACTCCTGGGGCTGGAGGAACACAGCCTCGGGACTCACTGGCTCACTGCTGCAGAAGTTCAGTAGTCACCAGAAAGAAGATCAATACCTTTAGAAGTCATTGTGGTCATGAGCAAATAATGGTACTGCAATCTAGCACCAGTGTCATCAGTTTGGGGTAATTTGATGCATGAAGTTCACTATTATATCACTGACTAAAAGTTACCCCAGTGAGAGAATGTATAAGAATGACTGTTCTGTTCATAGGTTTCACACTCTTCACTCTTAATCTGCCAGTCCACAGTATAGACAGTTATGGAATAAATCTTATCAGACGTGGATCCCTGAGACTACATTTTTATCAAAGAAAGGTCTGCTGCCTGATGTGTATTCTATGACACCAAAAAGGTTAAGAACCACTGGTGTAAAGAGTTTTATAGTGCATCTTTTAAACCAGGATACTTACCTGCTGTCATTCCTAACGACCTGCACCCCACCCTGAGAGTTGTACGTATAACGTTTACGACAGCCTGCTCTCTGCAGCCCCTTCAGGGTGTGACAGCGGACGTTAGAGTGAGGGGCTGTGCACCAAGCACACTCCGGTCCAGACTGCATGCACTCATCGCAGTTGGAGGCCGATGTGAGACACGTTTGTTGTTTGGCCCGGCTGGGGCCCAACTGGGCCAGCAGCAGGCCGAGACAGAGCAGCTTCACAGCCATCCTGTGGTTAGAATAAAGCTTTGGGATTATGTTCTTGACAATAGTAATTTAGTCAATAATGATCGATTTTAATAAAATAAAGGATGTACTATTAGTAAAAAGGTTAAAAAAAACAGTTGTATGTATATATGATAAATATGGCAATTTTTAAGATAACTTCTTTACTTGTCTCTGGTGACTCTTTCTTAATACTCTACTACTTGTTTTCTCTGTTCAATGGGCCACACTGTTAATTTAGGAATATACTACTACTACTAATTTGATATAAACGCTTGTTAGAAAGACTAACAAATAAACAAACTTCAGCTGGACTGTAATTAAAAAGTGATGTAACAGCTAGCCTAATATACCTGCTACTGTGCCTATTCCTGTACATTGCTTGTTTTATCTAACAGCATGCTTCATGTTTCTCTGGTTCTGTACTTGATATTGCCCTAAATAAACTGAAACAGATACACAACAGTGTTGGTACATTACCTGAAGTATTGAAAGCTCTCTGTGGTGCAGCTGTGTCTATCTGCCCCTGCACACTGGGACACACTGACAAGCTTCAGTTATATATTAGCTGTGCATGAATGCTGCTTGTGGATGCAGAATCTAATCACTGATCCTGAATGGTGCAGCTGTTTTTGCGCAAGTCTACTTTTCATTGGTCAGGCCTCTCGTCTGCAAATATTTACAGGTCAGAGTCAACTATTGGGCCTTTACTCATTCAAATGTAGGTCTGCATACCCGGCTGTATGAAATGTCATGTTTATGGGATAACTTATAAAAAACTGTGCATCAGTTGCTCATTTCCATCTTTGACAAATAAGTATGTGCATCCAGTATCGAGGATCAGAGCACATGTTTCAGTGTTTTCTAAAGCAGCTAACTTCCCCTCTTCTGATTCTCCACAGTCTTTAAAAGCCATCGTGACCCCGCAGTCCCTGTTGGTGTTGGATTTTCGTGGTCTTGGATTAGAGCGTTGGTTGGTACTGGAGCTCGCCTCTCAGATAGCATCACAGGCACACTCTCTGCCCTTTGAGTTCAGAGCACTGGAGGCCATCCTACAGCACAGGGTGAGACAGAATACAGAAACACTCTGTGTGTGTGTGTGTGTGTGTGTGTGTGTGTGTGTGTGTGTGTGTGTGTGTGTGTGTGTGTGTGTGTGTGTGTGTGTGTGTGTGTGTGTGTGTGTGTGTGTGTGTGTGTGTGTGTTTAAGTATGTTCTAACCTAGATAAAACTTGCAAATGGAGGACAAACATGAGGCCCTGTTGCGAGAGGAGGTTAAGTGTGTCCTCATGCATCTTTGTCAATAGGTAAACACCCTACAAACACGGCTGAATGATGTCGAACCAGTAATAATGGACACATTGGAGTCCCTCGTGGATCCTAAAATCCTTTCCGCTGATAGAAGTAAACTGCATATACTGCTGCAGAACAGCAAGAGGTAAAGCACACCATATAAACCATATACCCTGGTATAGTTTGTAAATGCTCTTATAAATGAGGGTAGACAGCCTGAGGATTCCAATGCTTCATTAATCAGGTGTGGCATGCCTCAAGGCTCAGGCTCAACATGGCAGCGTTACTATTACGTATTCAAGTATTATCTTGTCTGCCTCTCTCCGTTTACCTCTTTTCTCTTGTGCCACTGACAGCTTATCAGAGTTGGAGACGGACATTAAAGTTTTTAAGGATTCCTTGCTGAAGATTTTGGATGAGGACGAGATCATTGAAGAACTCTGTCTGACCAAGTGGACAGACCCAAGAGTTTTGTATGTCACACATGCACTCACATACACTTAACACAAATGCAAAAAGTAGTTCTTTTTAAAAGGACCTTTAAAGTCCACAGTCAGTGGCTGCAGTAGAAGATAAGAAAGGTATACGACTCAAGCAATGTTTTTCCTCCCCTTCAAAGAGTGTTTTTCTTTAACGTTGTCCTCACTGGTTGGGTTAGAGTTTACGTTAATTTATAGGTGTGCCAAAAGTTAGGTTGATAATAATCTTCTATAGTTTGTTTATAGAAGCAATCTATGTTAAGTATGTCTGCGGGACCCCAAACAGGAACTTAATGTGAAAAGAAATGGGAAGCTTAAGAGGAAATATAGTTTTAAAAAAAGCTGACGACCACGAAGGGACTCGAACCCTCAATCTTCTGATTCGAAGTCAGACGCCTTATCCATTAGGCCACGCGGTCGGATGTTAATGTGACGTCACAAGTTTACCTACTATGGGTGGCTTGCCGATACAATGGACGATGTCCTACAGGAGGACACGTGGTGTGAAGTTCTTCCGGTCGCTGTCGGGTCTTTTGTAAATTCAATTTGCCATTTTTTTGTCGGCGTCGATTATGTTATTGATCAAATCTCATGAACGCGCTCCTACTTATAAACACGTGGTATTCATAACGTAGAGTTTGTGAGTGGGAAATTCCTACGAGCAAACCTAAGACAAAAATTAGAGATTTACGATAGCAATATGAAAATGTATTTGCATGAATTGAATTGAGTTTTTAATATTTTGAGATTTTATTTTCACTGATATTAATTGTCTAAAGTATGGTCAATATTTGTCAGTGTGAATTTGTATTTTCCGTTGTGTGATTGATAATTACCAGGCCTTTTCTCAAACTGCATTTTTCTTGTGAGTGTATGAACAAGAAGTTTTCTTGTGTGTGTATGAACATCTGTCTGTCTAGTGAGGAGAGCAGTTTGGGTATTGACCACGCTGAGGAGATGGAACTGGTATTGGAGAATTATTACATGCAGGTAGTTTATCAAATTAACTAAGAGATTAGATATACAATGTTTCACATACAAAAAAATTATTATAATGAACTTCTGATGATTAATGCATGCTCAGAATTAAATGTAACTTTATATTGACATTTTGAACCTGTCCACTTGCCTCTCTTATGTATACATTGATATTAAAATCACTAAAACATGATCTTGAATGTCACTTACCTGTAATGCCCCATGGGTGAGCTCTTGAGTATTTATGACTGTGACTGCTCCATACAGGCTGAGGAGCTGGGGAACAAGGCCAGAGAGCTGAAAGGGCTGATAGACGACTCTGAGAGTGTCATCTTCATCAATCTGGACAGGTCCACACATACACACACACACACACACACAGCTCATTCCTCCTCTTCACACTGGCCATTAAATGATTCCTTCTTAATACACTTTAATATAAGTGATAGGAGACTAAATACAATGTGCTCATTTTGTGCAAAAATAGATTTAAAACCTTTGTGTTTTCAAAGATGACAAATAGAAGACATATTTTAAGTCCTATAAAATGACTCTACCTGTGTCTCTTTTTATTCCAGCCATCGTAACGTGATGATGCGCCTGAATCTGCAGCTGACGATGGGTTCCTTCTCCCTGACCTTATTTGGTCTGATAGGAGTCGCCTTTGGAATGAATTTGACGTCATCCTTCGAGGAGGTGAGGCGGCTTCCTTCTAAATAATTGGATCACCTCTAGAGTTTTTGACAGTTGCCGTTTACAACTTCTCAGAAATGAGGATTTTCATGCTTGGCTTCATTTTGAATTGGTGTTAGACTTTGTGCATTGGAACGTTAAAATCAAATTAAAGGTCCAGTGTGTTACATTTAGGAAGATCTATTGGCAGAAATGGAATATAATATTCGTAGGTATGTTTTAATTAGAAGAGCAGGTCCTCTTCTACAGAGTCCAATGTGTTGAACTGCCATGTTTGTACTGGAGCCCAGAAAGGACAAACCAAAAACTGACTCTAGAAAGGGCGTTTGACAGTGTATTCTTACACTGTAATCTGCAAGTACACAACTAGTTGCCACAAAATCCTACACACTGGTCCTTTTAAAGACAGAACTTGTATTTGGATAGTTTCTATGTTCATAATGTTTATACTCACTTACGTGTCATTTGTTTTATCACCAGGACCCTCGTGTTTTCTGGCTGGTAACAGGCTTCATGTTCTTGGGCAGTGGCATGATATGGAGACGACTACTGTCATTTCTGGGACGACATCTAGAACCTTCAATACCCCCTCTAGTAATACACACACACACACACACACACACACATACATACACACATACATACACACATACATACATACATACATTAGCCTCTCGCCATTTTTTATTTTTCATTAGACGCTTGATATAATAGTGTATTCCTTTGATATGGCACCTCATATGGTGCATGTGCACGAAGTAAAGCCACTCTTAACTCCACACACTAAGTAATAATAATGCCAGATGAAAGACTATTTAAAGTCCTAAGTCATTTCTCTTGTTTGCGATACAGATCCCTCCAGTTTGGAAGAGAAATCTGAAAACATCAGACATCAAGGCGGGAGTCAGATGATGTTCTACCTCCGCTCTGTAAAACGCCACAGACCTCCTACAGACTCTGCAGCTTTAAAGACGGTTGTCTTACCACCTCGGACCTTCTGGATTCTCTACAAGTGCTGGAGAGTTTTATTTTTTAACTCACCTCATGGTTTTGCTCCAGCAGAGTTTGAGACTGCATCCGTGTGTGCTTGTGTCCCCATCATTGTATTTCTCATTTTAAGTTGGGGTTTTTTCCGGATATTCATATAATATCTTCATGTATGTGGATAGAACACGTGGGCACAGAGCATTGCTCTGTCATCACTGTTTTTCGAGCAGTGGGTGGATGCGTGGGCAAGTGGCGTGATGGGGCTGAAACGGATAACAATCCAACTAATACGACATCCGCCTACATGCAGTTGTACGTTCCCTCATTTCATGTTTAGAAAAGCGTGTTTAAAAGGACTAAATCCTATTAATTTAATTTAATTTAAATAAATGTGATCCAAATGAACGTGTAACGTCCATTGTTAAGGTTTCTAGTTTTATTTTCTTTGCAATATCAGTTACATTAGAAGGACTTTAAACATCTACTGCTCTGAAAACAAGGATTTATTAAATGTTGTGATTGTCAACATAAATTAATAAAAGCAAAATCTAATTTTCAGGCATTTCTGACAGAACAATGACTGAGCTGCTTCTCCTCAGTCTTAAAAAACAAACAACATATTGCCGGTTTTGGTTGTCTTTTATTTTGATATTGTGTCTCACTGTGAGTGTCTCGAATTGACATTTGCCCAAAAATGGAAGGGCCTTAATACGACGACTAGTCATAGACTAAGGCATAGTACAACTTTGTCCTGTTCCTATTTGAATGAAATCCATTAGTATTCGAAATGTTACATCTAAAAACCTTCTACCAAAGCAAAGTCAGTGTTATATCGCCACTTTATACACTCTCAGGCCTTGAAGCTGTGGTTTCCAACTTGGGTTTCAAGTTGTTGCCATATAAATCAGACAGGTCTTTAGGTGGAACAGGACAGGGAAGCAGGAAAAAAACATTTCAGCTACAACAAAACCATGTTTATTTCAAAGTTTATTAGATTATTTTACCTCATGTTAAACTGGTTCTGATTGATATATGCAACAGGTGACGAGGGATCACCAGTAGGTCACAGGCCAAACATGTTGGAAAGCACTGCCTTAACAGAACTGTGTATCTTTTCAAGTCCTTCATCTTTTGACTGTGTTATATTTAATGCCTATAAAGAAAATATTCAGCCTTCTTGGGATTTTCTATTGTTTTTAAACCACATTGAGTCACAATGGATCGAAGATCTCAAGACCCCTTTGGTAGCAGTTACAGATTTGACAGGTAAAGACACTTAAAGTGTCAAAAAACTTTAACTACATCCACTAAGAAAGTTATAAAATAAAAACTAAATAACCATAGACGCTGTAGTGTAAAAAATTATTAGAAATTAAACAGTGATGGATTTTTATAATTCAGATCATCAGTGTTTAGAAAACAGTTCCATACTATATGTTTCTTGTGTGCTGTGGACTTTTTAAATGAGTCTCATGTCCTTAACTTATTGAACCGAATTTAATTAGATAAATGGTAAGTGTTACCTTAATATTCTAAAAGCTGATTTCTCTCCAGTGCTACTTTATTGATTTACAGCACAAGTAATTACATAAAATAGCCTGTTGTGCTGACTGCCTTGGTTGGGAGCAATAAAATGAAGTTAGTACACTCTAAAACCAGATAAGTCCATTTAACTCAAAATATTGTTGAAACCGATTACATTTTTAAGTAAAACTAATTAGTTTTTTTTATTTGTTCTCTGAAAATAAAATACCTAGTAAAAAGTTATTAATCAGGAATGTTTCTCTATCTTATAAAACTAAGTTAGTCATTTAAAATTACTTGTAAAAGCTGCCTAATCAAGAATAAAAACTGAGTTTGTCTTACTTAAAAATATTTATGTAATCAGTTTCAACAATTTTTTGAGCTAAATGAACTGATCTGGTTTTACAGTGCAGATGGTCGAGTAAGTGACATTTGCTCTGTTGAATCTGGAATATTTTTGCCCAAACGTACAAAGAGAAAAGGACAATTATTTTGGTACAAGTTTGGTACAGTTTTATGTGAAGTGTAACTCCGATTGCTGTCGTAACCAGTCTTGTGCAGTAGAGGGAGTCCTATCTATAGTTTAACATCCAGTTTGTAGCAGAACAGGATAAAAACAATGTGAAAATGCTACTACTTATTGAAATGCATGTCTATATAAATTACTGTGTAATAAAACACTGACATATCTTTCTAGAGAAATGTTATGATTTTGTCAACATACTGTACTGCAAGTTCTATGTAGCAGCTTGTGCTTACAGTTTTAAACCCTTTCATGTACACTCATTTCTTCAAAGTGTTTTAGGAACCTATATTTTCTTACTTTAGAGAAGTTGCTGTAACTTCTCGTGTGGACCACACCACAGAAGTGTCCGTAAAGTATGATTAGTCACTAAAATGAGAATTCATCATTCAGTTTATATTTTTTATCATCAGTCCAACACTTGATGGGCATTTCCTAATATCGAAGGCGTTAATTTACCAAACCTACAGCTACATAAATAAGCAGGCTGCCAGTTTGCCTACTCATTATTCAAATGTAACACCAAATAAATTAAATAGTGTCAAACTAATCTAAATTAGATCAGTAGGCGGGGGGTGTTGAGAGAATCAAAATCCTCTAGTTTACTCCGATGATGTTCTCTATGAAAGATATTGATTCACAGCAGAGATAATTCAGCAGGTTATCTCTGCCAGTTTGAGCCAGAAGGCATTTGTTTTGTTCACATTAATCTTTATAAAGATCAAAGAGGCTTTTTATGCGTTCCCAGGTAATCCACAATATAGAAATACTTACTAATATACACAGACTAGGCCTTTATACAGAACACTTTATATCAAGGGGAATCCAGAGGGTGATTGGCTGTACACTTATTCTAACAGCATTACATTCACACAGGTAGCTTTCATCATCTCTGCCTTAGAGCCTAGATTTTATCCATATAATACTTAATTCAATACAATGTACACAGTTCCTCCCGGGAAACTTTTCAGGCTCACTCTCTTGCTTTAATCCTCTCTAGTTGATTTATTATTTTACCACTTTAATTTTGGAAATGTGCTGCAGTTGTATTTAATCATATCACAAATAAAAGAGAGAAAAATAGAGAACCTGCCATGAGCACTGTAATGTTACTTCACTATGTTAATTTACTACTTTATTGTCGACACTGCGTCGCCAACAAGCCCCCCTGTCTTTGTATGCGGTGAGATTAGTCCGCTAACATTTCTTTAAACTCCTCACATCCGGATATTATCACTGTAAATTATTCTAGGGACAAATAAGGAGCGCGAGACACTGTGGAAAAAAACTCTTCCTGCGCTGGTGAACACGCCTCCTTTCACGCGCACACCCTCAGATGATGTTGACACAGACTCAAATAACTAACATCTTAATCACCGCCGGGGCACCGTTTAACACCAGTGTGGGCAAATCACGGTTTCCTTAATACATGAAATATGAGTGGGTCCAGCTAACAGTACAGATGGATAGTGGACTATATTAATGTCTGGTTTCCCCCTTCACATTTCTTAAATACAGTCTATTTATGTTTCCTTTCACCCAGGTGTGTGTGTGTGTGTGTGTGTGTGTGTGTGTGAGAGAGAGAGAGAGAGAGAGAGAGAGAGAGAGAGAGAAACGCCCCCTACCTTCTTCAATGAGCGTCACGCACGCCGTGCTGACGTCAACGCGGAGCCACGCTGCACTGCCAGTCCAAACATCTTTTCCAGAGCAGCTCCACATCACACCGCGTCCCGGAGCCGTTCACCGGAGTGCTGGGATTTAACAAAGCAGCCGTACACACACCAGCGGAAAAATAAGGTGTCGAATAATAAGCGGAACGACATATTTTTTGCTTTTGAGTGTATATATTTTAGTTTATTTTTCAGTACTTTCTTCTCCCGCTTTACAGCTGACTTTTTCTTTTTTTGGAAGTTAAGATGAGGAATCTGCGGTTGTTGTTCCTCGTCGGGCTGGCGACTGGGTTTGTCAGTGAAAAAGTAAGTAGAATGGCTTTTAATTGCGGTTTTGTGTGAAATATCGAACAACTAACGTCACGTAAAGCCTGTATGTTATTTGACTCGATAATGTCGACTTTGTGTCTTTCTTTTATCCCGAGAAAAGTCTCTAAATATCCGTAAATATAGGCTTAGAAAACCTTCCACAGCGTTTGATTTTGTTCGGTTGCCACTTTCCCATACAGGCTCCCCTTAAAGTCAATGGGAACATGTTTTAAAGGTCCTAAATATAATGATAAAGCATATTAGTTTGTTCAGTATGTTCATTTTGTTAACAAACTTTACCTAATTGGTCCACCTGGGCGTGAAGTATTGCTAAGAGTAATGAACATATACATAAGCTGTTTCTGAACCTTAAACAAACCTTATCTTGCAGGAAGCAGTACTTTCTATCGTTACTGTGCGGACTAATGCTGATTTACTGATAGTCACTCATACACTGTGTACTCAAGCCAAGTTCAGGCGTCCAGTTGGTGTCAGGTTCACACAGGGCCAGAGTCTGTTCAGCCTCTAGCTCACAGCTTTGACATTTAAACCCAAACCTCCGGACCTGACCTGCATTTCTCACCCACAAAGAGCTTAGGCCAAGGATTTAAAATGTCATGCAAAAATGAAATTCTGTATCAGAAAATAATGAATATTTAACTGGGATAAAAATGCTAAGAATGACAAAATCCTTCTGTCTGACCTGACAAGTCACAAACTAGACAAATCTTTGTCTGTGTTACTATTTCCCTTCCTGTGTGTTTGTGTCTGTCTGTTGTAAAGCTGGAAAACACCTGGAAATGCTAAAGCGGAGCTCTGTACATTGTCTCAAGTGCAAAAAAAAAAAATATCCCTGTTGCACGATTTATTGACTGTGAAAGTCTCAAATGCGAGGCCACCTCTCCAGAAATACATGATGTTTATGATTTATGGACTGTATATTGTAAAAGGGAGAGAGCTGAAACCTGAGACTGACCTGCTGGATATGTGTAGTGGGAACTGATAAGGCAGTAGGCAAGCCCTGTGAGTTTGAATCTGAGAACATCATGTGTCATGAATGGCTGTGATCACTGGAAAGCGGCTTTTTTAGCTGCTAAAATTGTACTTTTATCATCTCGTGATGTGTGTCATACTCTGCTCTACACATGCCCTTTACTTCATGCCACTAATACACAGACTCCAGTCCTAAATTGCTGGGCGTGATGGGTTACGGCGTATATTCAAACTGTCTCTTTCTCTGAGTGTGGCTGTAGAATTACTGGTTATTCAGTCAGTGATGTTGCTCACATATGAAAGATGAACGTTGAAACAGGCTTTCTGCCCCGTGACACTTTGTGAGCCGGTAGTGGTGGTGTCATTTTATGGATGGATGACTCACAGTGAGTCCCTCTGGGCTTGTTTAGACAGGCCCATATCTGTGTGGGATACATGTAGGTTAACATCAGAGTAGGCAGGAGGAAGATTGTGACACTTCCTCTCATTATCATTCACGATTATTCTCCCAGTGCTTCCGATTCAGATCACCATAACACACATATGGCAGGAAGAGCACATAATGATTAAATGATAAACCATTAATGTAAGCATCCAACCATAGCTGTGGAGAATTTGGTCTACTTGAAGTTTCCTGTGTATTAGTCACAACACTGGTCTATATATGAAGGCAAGACTGTACACATCCCGTCTGTTCTGATTGGCTGCTGGACTGTTGTATGGCATTTTTGTGACTTTGTTGATTGTATGTCTGTCTTCCAATCTCATCGTGCCCTTGAGGGATTTTCACCCAACTGTCAAATATGCACAACACCTGAATGAGTTGCTTTTACAGAGGGGAAATACCAGTAAGGTTTTCACCACATATGGATGGTGAGGTAACTCTCTTATATTGCTCTTTGCTCTAGCACAGAGCTGTTAACATTTTTATGAAAATCGTGTCTTCTGCCAAATAGTGTGCCTTTAGTTTGGGATCAGCAGATTCAAATAACTGTGATACATATCTCAATTAAGGACATAATATCTTTATTGTGACACTTTAAGACATAAAGTAGATACTGTGTCACTTTCTGGCTGGTAGTATCACACTTAAGAGTTTGGGGAAAATCCTTTATACCCTTGTCTTTCTGTACAATCCTACCAAACTCTGTAAAATGTCAGTTTACCCCGCATCGTCTCCCCTCTCTTTTATTGTCAAATAATTTTGCCTTTGTAAAGCCTCGGAGACTATAACTGCTGTTAAACAACTAAACAGATACATTTGACGTTGAGGGGTCAGACATTTTATGACTCGTAGCCTTGGTCAAACATACACCCCCTCGAACGCGGCGCTGTGTGCTGCTGCTGCTATCTAGATGGTGATGACAGCTCTGCTGTGTACTTATGGCTGTTACACAACCTCAGTCTCTGCCTGAGTGCTCTCTCATTATTATTGACTTCCAGCCCATTGGGGGAATATTTTACTGCAATAACTCCTTATGCAACGGACACAAATATGGATTTGTTGATTACAACATTTAATAATTCACTCATACAGCTTGCCTGTTGCGTGTCTGTAGTGTTTTATCACCGCGACCTGGCTGTTTCCAGAAAACTGTCTTCACTTGGACAATGCACCGGGAGACCAGATGGTTATATACAGTCTGTGTGTGTGTGCTATGCATATATGTATGTTTTCCAGATGTGTGTAACCTCCGAGTGACTCAGTCGAGTCTTTCAGTGAACCCAAATGCACAACTTCTTCCCGGCAGGGGGAATGGACAGAGAAAGTTATACTTGTTTGGGAACACTTGAATTGAAACAATCAGTCGATTAATCAATCAGTCAATTAACATATAGTGATTCACCATTAATTCTGATCATCAATTCATATTTTAAGCAATTTATCAAGTAAAATTCAGTTTTTAAACTGAGTATGTTTGAGTTCTGGATTGTTAGAAACAAGTAAGAAATCACTTTGAACTGGGTATTTGTCCTTATTTGCTGACATTTTATTAACTAAATTGGGGGGAAAATGATACATTAATCAGTATTAAAAATAATTAGCTCCAGCCCTTCTGGTCCCACTCATAGGACTGTAGGGCTAGGTGATATTTCAGTTATTCATCTTTCAACATATCATCACGTTAGCCTTCCTACAAATTTCTGATCTGGTTCTGTTTCTCTCAGACACGCTATGAATAAAAGTGTGCTACTAAAGTTGTACACACATAAAGAGTGTTCGCTCGTGTAATGTGTATCACTGACACATTTAATTGCTTTGAACATCAGATATTATCTGTGATTGTGCATACATTCGCCTTATTTGATTACTTATTGAGATAGGAGTATATCCTTATTAGTGGTAATAATAGCCATGCCCTTCCTCACTGTGTGCGTGAGGGATCTTGTTTAAAGTACATGTACGTGGTGGAGGTGGTGTGTTTGGCAATCCATCAGTTCACTGGCACCTGGGGTCACAGTAGGACTAGTTGTTGTGGCCTTAAAAGGGAATCCTGCTCATTTTCCAGTATGTACATTGTGTGCCTCCTTCACTGGGACAGTTCCATCAGTATAGATATGAGTATGAGCTGCTCTATATCAAAGCTAAGGAGACCTGACACACATAGCCAGTGATGTCCAACATGGAGCTACGAGTTTGACAGTCAGCAGCTCCAAGCTTAAAACTTTCTTTAGTCATCCACATTGATTTAAGGTTTAAAGACAGGGTATTTGGAAAACATACAAGGAAGGCATTATGAACATCACATTTGTCTGCCTGCAGCAGTTCCAGTTTTGTGCGAGCGTCTCTGTGTGTTTGGTTTTGACAAGCACAGCATCTGCTTTTGTAATCCCCGGTTGACGACAGCAAGAATGTGAGAGCCCCTTCTGCTGTTTGAGTTAGCCCTGGCATTATGAGCCTCTGCTGTCTTTTTGAAAATGGATGTTAATGGTTTTGTATTTGGCCTGTTTCACCACAATGCGAACACAACATCTGGTTCGCCTCATAATGGGTTTTCTCTTGTTACATCTCAGTTAGATTGAATAAAAAGAGAGGTCTCAGAAGTCACAAAGGAAATTTAGCTAAAAAGTTTGTCTTGAGGCTTGATCTACTGTTTATTGATACCCAAAAGAGGTATACATGCTGCTTGCAGGTCTATGCAGAATGAAGGAAGTGGTGTTATTAACTGAAGTGTTTTGGTCTCTAAAAATAGAACAAATACACTAATTCTTCACGTGCAGAAGGATGTGTCAGTCAAAACACCATCAAAATGGCTTGTTGGGTATTGTTTGTTGCCTTTTGATTATTGATGATCAAAGGTATACTGCCTAATGAAAGCCCAGTATTAGCATGTGAAGACTCATGCTTTAAGAACTGATTTATAAATGTACTTTTTAAGTGTAATTATTGATTGCACTTAAAGTTAGACCTCCTCACGCATCCTCTCCTATGTCACCAGCACCTGTTTAACAAGAAACATACAGTACTGTCCCTGTATCTCTCCTTCCGTTCATTCCTTTCTCCAGTCTCCCTCCTTTCTCCCTCTCTCAGCACCTGTGTTAGTGGAAGCATAGTATACATACCAGACATACTTTAGGTCTCAATGGGCCGTGTGTGTGTGTGTGTGTGTGTGTGTGTGTGTGTGTGTGTGTGTGTGTGTGTGTGTGTGTGTGTGTGTGTGTGTGTGTGTGTGTGTGTGTGTGTGTGTGTGTGTGTGTGTGTGTGTGTGTGTGTGTGTGTGTGTGTGTGTGTTGCTGTCTTAATACCAATCTTTGATTCATGTTTTTTTTTTTTTAGTTTGCCTGAGCCGTTTTGTACGTTGTAATAGTTTGCTTTCATCTGCTTCAGACAATCATATTTCAACAAGCTAATGAGTAACATCATCTATTTAAGTACCTCATCTCTTCGGTTAAAGCCTAGTGTTTTTTTTTTGTCAGACTAAGCTTCAGATGACGAGGCAAGTGGGGTTTTGATTTTCATCATACTGTGCTGGAGTTAGTGGGAGGTTTTTCCTGAGCTACAATCTCATATATGAAAGTTTGGGTTTTTTTTTTTCCTCTGTGTGTGTGTGTGTGTGTCTTTGTGTGTGTGTGTGTGTGTGTCCACTTGTCTTTGAAGCTGCTCTACTTCTCCCTCCTCCTCATAAACACACTTAGATCTCTGCTGTCTGGCTCTGTGAAGCATCACAAATTACTGTCACAGCACATGAAATGAACAAGAAACCAGCCTCTGTCTACTGCACATGCTACAGTATGGATACAAATCCATAGCACACACAGACACCAGTGAACTGTCAGCTCCCAGCATTGGTCACTGGTTGTGAGAGGTATTGTTGTACTCCCAAACTGTAGAGATGTTCACATGGTTTCGATTAGCGGAAGGAATTTTTGCAAGTTTGAATAAAGGTGATTTATGTGAGTCCTTTTTCTGTCTATGTTAGTATTTCTCTCCTGCTTTAATAATAATACCTGTAATTTGTTTTTGTCTTCCAGCTCTTCGTCTCCTCCCAGTCACCCTTCTCCACAGCAGATGACCTGTACCTAGAGGGTCGAACGTCAGGTGACCTCCCTATAGATGATGAAGACGGTGAAGACGACGGCTCAGGCTCTGGGTCCGGAGACTATGGTAAAAAGGGGACTCTCTTTGTTTTGTAATTGTTTTCACTGTGATTCAGTTAAATTAACACAAAGTAAGAATACATCTTGACAACTGACAAGTTGAACATTGTCCAATTAAAACGGACCCACCGCGGTGACGTTTTTGGTGGAGCTGTTAGTTTAATAGTCGACTTGGAAGAAAGCGAACGTTTTGACAATAAGCTACATCAACACAACAGTATGTGGAGTTAAACTGGACAGCCCCAATAACCTCTGAATAGTTCTACTTGTTGTTAAATTGCAATGTGAGCGGCAGCCAACGGGGGTGCATTATGTCGGCAGGATCATTTAAAAGGCAACCGTGACTACATTGTGCGTCTGCCCCATTACTGATACCATGGCGGCAGAAATTTAACAGCGGCGGGCTCCAAAATCAACGTAGAGGAAACACTGCTGTAAATAAAAAAAAAATTGGATTCTAGACATCACAGCAACATATTTGAAGCAATTGTACTTTCTAGAGCTTTATGCTTCTATAGAGAGACCATGACCTCTCTAACCTTCACAATCACATGTCTTCAAATGCAAATTTTATCTAGTTTACAAAAGGTTTCTATCTCAGGGTGTGTTTCCTGATCCACCGTCTATCCGCTCCGTTACGCATGTCAGGCAGATGAGCAATATATGCTCTGTAGACTCACGTGCTTGTATATTCAGACACAGAAGCACTCACTCACAGGGTGCCAGATGTTTGTCCTGAGGTGATGTAGATTTAACCAGGTGTGGTTTTATTGGAAGCACGCAGATGTCAGATTACTCTCTGCCTTTATTATCAGTGACTCACTTTCATGCCCACAGTGACTGTGTTGAAACATTAAGTTAATTCAGAACATTCAGTGGGATCACAATTTAAACTAAAATGTGGTTTGGTAATTTTCCGTTAAGTTATAAAACGTATAAAACATTTTACTTTCTAGAGCTTCACAGACTGCATTCCTCCTGCATGTAAAAGGAACTTGTTAATTAACAGTCAGAGAACGTTTTAACATTGCGTAACTGTCCTATGAAAACCACAAAGTGCCAAAATGTCCACTTCCCTATTTCCTATTCCCTATTTTTAGCTTTGTGACGAATATTTTTTCAGATAATCCAATATATTTAAATGTATTTATTTATTTTATAAAGTATGTGAATTTTCTCCCATACAGTAACACTAATGACTCTGTGCCAGACTTAAGTCAGTTATGGTGCTAGGTTGAAAGTAAATCAGATATAATTTGTGGTGATTGTGTTCTCTTTTCCAGTTTTCCCCAACTTCACCGAGGAGAAACTCATGAGGTTCCTCAACCTCTCCAGGACCACAGTCTCCAAAGAAACGGTTCCAAATCAACCACAGCCAACAGCAGACTCTCCTCACGACCCACCAACCACAGCAGCAGATAGCCAGGATCCACCAACCACAATGAAGGACTCAGAGGAAACTGATGAGGAGGTAGAATAATGCTTTTCTCTTATACAAATCCTTATCCCAGAGTCAGAAAATCTTTATCACTTGGCTTTATGACTAGTAATATGCTGTAGATTATTTAAAAGATCAACACATTTTACAAATGTTGTACCAATATAATATAATATAATATAATGTACTATACTATAATATACTATATACAATTTTTATATATATATTGTTCCTTCGGCCATTGGTAAATTATTTACAGTATCAAATAGCACCCACATCTTCTATATGAACCAAAACTCTCCCATCCATTTTGCATTTAGACTTTTGTTGTTGTTATACAGTGAGACTGCTTTATTTATATATATATATATATTATATAATTCTACTTCTGCATTATGTAAAGAAAAAGCTTAACAAATGCATATATTCCTCCAGGTGGCAGGTATTGGCCCAACAGCTGACTGGTTCACACAGAAGACCAGTGTCAGGTCCACTAGAATGCCTCCCAGTGAAACTACCACAGCTGAATTCAGCACAGACATCAGTGTAACCAAAGATACCGATGAGGACAACAGTCTGGATAGGTGGGATGCCACAACACCCAAAGACAATGGAGATGGATTCCTGATGAGCGAAAATGAAATTCTGGTCAAAAATGGCCATGGTGGCAGATTATATGAGATGGACTCTCCCAAAGAGGTGTCCTCTGAGAACTTGTGGGAGAGAACAGAAGTGCTGGCAGGTAAGGGCAGATTTTCACTAGGCTTTACTGCACCTTTTTATTGTCCTCATATGTCTGGTATCTGAAGCATCTTTTTGTTAAGGCCATGTTAGCATATTACGATTTAGATTTTTGATATGTACATTTTGCAATTAGACTAATTAAACTAATCTATGTGTGTTTAAAATTCACAAATTTTTAAATATACTGTGACACATTGACAAGAAAACTGTCAAGAAAATAAATGTTAATCTTTCCTTATGCTCTCTCCAGCTGTGATAGCATGCGGAGTGGTGGGATTCCTTTGTGCTGTTTTCCTCCTCCTCCTCCTCGCCTACCGTATGAAGAAGAAGGACGAAGGCAGCTATGACCTGGGAGACACCAAACTTTCCACAACAACCTATCACAAAGCACCGACCAAGGAGTTCTACGCCTGAGCTGGACTTTAAATGCAATCCGCCTCCTCCCTATCAGGACTGAGAATGGATCTATGAACAACTGAAGACGATTCCTCTTGATGAAGTTTGAAGTCAAGCACCTCTGTTCTTCTGCAGTGCTCCTTCCATTTTCTTTCTTTCATCTTTCTTACCTTCCAACTGTTCTAGACTAGGAAATCAACTTTAAAGTATTGATATCACTGTGCCTTTTAAACCTACATTACTTCTCTAAACTGAACCACGATGGGTCAGGCTTCCCTTCTGCTTTGCAGACAAATTAATTGTCCCATTTAGCCTGAACTGTCCCAGCTCAGCTAAACAAAATTGAGGTTCAAGTTCACAGAAACCTAAGAATAGCTTTAATGCATTTTGAATGCTGTTATTAGAAAGGGTACCAGATCATGGGATTAGTATTAATCCCTCCAAAAATGTAAACCTTCTTGCCTTTGTTTGAAGTCAAATTTGCTCTGTTTGTTACATTTTTCTTTGTTACATTTCATTTTCTGCAGCTTTCTTTGCTGAATTGAAGATTTTTTGTTGTTATGAGGAATGAGTATGTTTTGTTTTTTTCATATGCTGTCCAGTATTGGTATGAGAGATTTTGTTACTCTGCAGGTACATATTTTTGTTTTGTTTTCTCAGATATTTGACTTATTATAGAACTGACCAAATATAAATGTGCTTTATTTGTCTTTTGGAAAATTATTTTTAGTAGCTTTTTCTGTGTGTTTTTTTTTTTTTTTTTTTTTTTTTTTTATGTTTAGAGATTATATCTCCATAAGCCATTTTTAAAGAGATTTCAGTTTTGTCATAGTATTCAGCCAGCCTTAAGAAGTTAAAAGTCCCTCACTTGCATCTGTCCAACATTAGTAAACTTTATTTTATTTGTTTACTGAGGGCAGCAAGCACATGGGACAGCATTGCTAAGGTAGAGCCAAGGCTAATGTCTATCATTCAGAAACCGTAGAAGTGACCAAGGTTTTCTGACGACAGCCAAACGCATTCCTTTCCGACTGTCAACTGTATACAACTACAATAGCAGGTTTGAAATTAAGGGGACAGTGACAGTTTTTAGTGTCTAAAGTCAGGGCTTATTCACACAGCAGGTCTTGAGAGTTAAAAAAAATGCAGTGAACTCTAGGTGTCTGTTTAACTGTCAACTGTATTTGCTACTTACAAATTCTTTTTAATTAGTCACAATGCTCCTCTGAGTGTAAGCACGTCAGGTTTTAAACATGTTTCCTCATCATCAGTCTTTACCTCAGCCAGCCAACCAACCAAAGAAGCAGGGGATCTGTTTAGAAACTTTTTAGAGCTTCAGTAAGGATACACTTAACCGCAACGACAACAGGGTGGTATTCCCTTTTGAGCATAAAAGCATATTATTTTTACTTGTATACACCCTGTTAAATATATATTTTAGTGAAAATACTGGGGATTTACCCTATGTATAGTCTTTGATGAATTTAACCAGCTGCCTACTGCTTATTATGTGTCAAAGAACAATGCTTAGCCTCTTATTGAAGCAGCTCTGTTGGTGGCCTAACAATCTTTATGAAAAGGTCAAATAATTTTTTTTTTTTTTTAAAGCCAATTTTGGTTATCAAGATTACTGGAATAAGCAGAGAGGTGTGGCTATAATTGAATATAGCCACACGTTCTCATTAAAATTGGTGTCAGATTGTTTTATTTCTCTTGTTCTGACTTTGTTGACTTTGAGTTTAATGTCACATAGCAAACCATTTAATCACTATAGGCATTTCCTTACAGCATTGTAATGGCTATTTTTTTGTTTTTAGATCATCTTGTGTCAAAGGTTACTGCCCCTATCTGCTGCAAACTTTGTAGCCGCAGTTTCTATTAACAGTTTGATTCCCTTCATCAGGCAATGTAACATCAGTGAAAGTTGGTGTGTGAGTCTACATATATCTTTTGTCCTTTAGTCGAGGCTACTTAATAGTGTTTACATGATATAATTTCCTTTGCCATAATAGAAAAGACTATTTTAAAGCTGTTCTATTTTATCTGAATGCAAACTCAAACTACCTATTGATTATGGCCTGAATAAACAGGACAATCTTATCACTAACCCACTGTGACTTACTGTTGATAAAGGTGGAAATTGGTTGGGTACTTGAATCCTCAGTGCCTCAAACATTGTACACATTCATTTACAGTACTCTTTCAGAATTCTAGCTGTGCACAACCACAAATGTAATAGCTATGGGAAAACCCTTGACTTGATTTCTGTTGTCCATACCAACAGAAATGTCAGAGAAACATTCATACTGACATAAACCATACCCACAGAGGGTTAAGACAGCGGGTTAGCGCTTGCCGACAGTCACACAGGTGATGACACACAATAAACTTTCTCTTCAAGGTATGTAGGTTTATAAAGTATGTTGCTGATACTATAATTTATATGTATTAATTTATACTTGCTTAGACAATAATCCAGGTTAATATGTCAGTGATAAATTGGGATTGTACAGTATTTACTCATGGTCACAGCCTCTTTGTGCCTACTGCTCAGTTTGTTTTATATTTATGTTTTTAGTGTATTTGACAAGCCTCGGTTCAATTCATTTTCAATTTCAATATCAGTTGTGTAGCTTTCTAGAAATACTTTTTTCCTATGAAAATATTTCAAAAATGATCAAAGCATAAGAATAAGTTTCTTGTAAATATACTGCGGCTTTCATTTTTATTTTAATCAAAGTTGAATATGAATTGACTGAAGCCTTGATTTTAACAAATAAACACCTACACAATGAAGAGGACCAACCAAAAATCAGCATGGAAATAAAATGGTGACTTAAGCACACGCGGTGGCCAATAGAGAACTGTGTTGCTGAAATTGTGTATCTTAAGAGGTTCACTACTGAATAAAAGACGTGGCTTTAATGGAACTCTAAAACTGGCTGCTTGTAATTTTTTGGTTGCAGGGATTGGTCTAAGAGCATCCATTCTTTCACTCTCATAAGCACACACCCACAGACGTGTTCACTCAACAGCATGTGTGCTGATGTTCAACCACAATGCCTTTTTATTGACCGTTTTCCCTTTCATCCTCCCTTTTTATCTGTCTTTCTCCAACGCATACAAAAACTCTGTATTTACTGCAGTTAAGTCAATCATTTTGTTGCCTAACGATGCTCCTTTAGTAAGTCCTCTAATAGTTCAACAGAAATTCATGGTGTCAATAGATGAAAACTCTGACTCAGTTGTAGCTTTTGTTCCCCTTTGCACAGTAGCACAGAAAAGCATTTCCTCCCAGCCTCATGAAACATCCTCGTAGAAATGTAGGTGCCAGGAAAAAAAAGTTTTCAAACCACTGTGTTAAACCAAGCCAGCAGCATGTGAATGGAGCCAAATGGTCAGATGTTTTCCAAAAACTGATGATGCAGAGAAGAAAACACAAATGGCAGAGGAAACTGTGAAAAGAAGTGGGCTGGTGAAATACATATGCTGAATCATTATGTGAAAAGCAAATGTCTGTAAGTATACAGAAGTTAAACGTCTGTACATAATGTACAGTAAAAATACTAGAGTGTATGAAAAGTAGAAGTAAACATTAATCTGACCCTTCTCACAGGGTGGGACAGTTACAGTGAATGCCAATGACTGCAGAGGAACGCAGAACATTAGTGGTAGAGAAGGAAGGGGGGATGAAAACCGCAGATTGGGATGTGGGTAGAGAAGTGTTTTTTGCAGTGTGGATACAATACATTCCTAACACCGGACATCTTTTTGGCAACTAACATGGTTGACATGGAGACATGGAAATTATATATATATATTAAAAAAAAGACACATTATATAACCTAAAAGTGCCCCATCAAACACTTTAGAATTTGGTTTCTGTCTAATGTGATAATAAATGAAGACTGCACTGATAGAAAGTGGCAATGATACAGTTAATATATATGTTGCTTCTTTGAAAAGAGGTATCTGGCTCTGCAGCTAGATTTTCTACTTCTCTGGTCATAAAAAAAACCTGTTCCTTTTCTTCTGTGCATTAACATTGTGCACCTTGACTTATGCTGAGAAGTGTTGAAAAGTGGATAGAGCATTCTTAAAATCACATCTTCTCTGAACACTAATTATACTATCTAGAGCATGACCTTCCTTTAGAGGTACAATCAAAAACTTGAGAGCTCAAACACTGGATTTATGCCGGGATTATATTTGGAACTTTATATTTAATTTTGTCTTCATTGCAACAGCTGAGCAGAGTGCATGTATGAACCAGTTTAATGTCAGTGTTAAAAGTGCTGGCTTTTGACATTAATTCTTTAAACTACATGAATTTTGCTAATAAGGGCCAGTAGGACAGTGTGACAAATACAGTGTTAGTAGTATTACACTAATGAAATGCATATTCTGTATAGACTATGGTACTTCATATGGTAATAGTAGTACAATTTTACCACATAAAACTTTGTTCGGTATTTATAAAATCCTTCAGTTGTTGCATGTTCTATTGTGTTCTATTTCTATTATATATTTATTTACGTGGAAACTGTTTTAACTATATTTTACAGCTGTAGAGTTGTAGAAATGGCGCTTTTATTGTGAAAAAGGTCGGACCGGAAGTGTTCTTTGTTGTTGTTATAGGCGAGCTGAAGTCACGAGCACGGAAACGGTGTTATTACGGTATTCATCGCGTGTGTCAAAACTGTTTGAAGTCTTATATCATCAACGATAACAAAGACACTGGAGGGTTTGTGTTCGTGTTATTTTATGGATGTTTTAAATCAAGCTTTATGCTCGTTAGTCCAGCTAGTCCAAAAACTTCCCGACCGTCTCTCTCTCCGCCCTCAGTTCGTCTCTATTCAAACCTGATTCTGTCTAATTGAACGTTTGTTTGTTGATAAAAGATGAAGCCTAGTTAAATTGACTTTATTAATGCTGTATGACTTTGTTATTTGAATGGATAGCTCAACCATTAACGCTGCCAGGCCTCGACTAACTCTGTAAATATGAGCTCTGCTGTAAGTGCCACTAACATTTCATCATTCACCACAAACTAGCTCATACTAATGTAACTAACTTCAGTCTCATAAATGTGGAGCTATCTCTGAAGGATTACACAGCATTAAGTTGTTTGTCCAGGTTTTACAGTTTTTGATCTACTTTAGATAATCAGTGGTACTGTGGGATCCTTTGTTGTCAGTATGAACAGTATTGGATCAATGATGTGCTGCCAGTTAGTGGGGGTAATTCAGTTATTGGTTTATTAAACAGGTATTAATGATCTTATTTGTACTGATACTGGTGTTTTTCCTATCTGCAGATGGGTCAGAAAGGTGGACTGCCCTTCCTCCTCATGTTTCTCTACATGCTGTTACCTCTGTGTGACTGTCACCCTCCTGGATGGTCCATGAGATCAATGGCTGCAGCCAGGACTGTGTCCAATCATACTGCAAGGAAAGGTAACGCAAACCCTCCTACAGTCATCTATGTAGTTTAGGATTGAGGCCTATGTGTGGAAATCTGGGTTGCCATCAATTTATTATTGGACTATGGGTGTGGATGGGCTTTGAGATATTGGAACAATAGTGGCACAGCTAAATCCCTATCCTGTGATACTCACTGCTCTCTATTGGGATAGATTAGAAAACATCTACATATCAGTCCATTTATCACAGATTAATACTAAATATTGACCCAGTCTTTACACGCAGTTTAATTACTGCTGACTCATACTGTGTGATGTTACATGTAGTCACTGTATGTTTATATTGCTCCCTTCACCTATTATGTATAAAGTTTTTGGTACCGGTCTTTGTATAAAAATATAAAACATAGTGGAATGACTGTATAGCTGAGACATGATGGATTTTTTGGCTGAAGAGCTTAGATATTCTTGACCAAAAACAGGAGTTTTGGATATAAAACCTTACTTTCTTTTTCTGTGTGTCTGTGGGAACCCAGTGTCTGACATAGCTGCAGAAGTAGCAGGCTATGCTGATGTGGCCAAACAGATTATTGACCTGGCTGTATTTGGAGCCGCCCAGAACCGCTCTTACAAAAGACTGGCCGACTTCACCGACACCATTGGGAACCGCGTCAGTGGCTCACACAACCTGGAGATGGCTATCAAATACATGTACAATGCTATAGCACAGGACGGGTTGTATGTACATCTAGGTGAGAACGCCTTGTTATCTGTCTCGCTGGATGCCTCATGTGAGAAGTGTGTAATGACGAGGGGATCTTTCCTTAAGGGATCTCGCTCAGCAATGTCTTGTCCTCTGCTTGTGTTTTGTTTCAACCTGTCCCTCTGCAGAGCCAGTCAAAATCCCACACTGGGTAAGAGGAAAAGAGAGTGCAGAAATGATTCTTCCCAGGGCCAAAGGTCTGGCCATTCTTGGACTGGGTAGCAGTGTAGGGACACCACCTGAAGGTAAAGACTGAATCAAATCATTTTAATGTCTGTCATCTGCCATAAATTTCCCTTTTCTTCTCACTCTCACTCTTATCTCTCCAGGAATCGAGGCAGAGGTGTTGGTGGTTGAGTCTTTTGAGGAACTGAAGCGTAGAGCCAGCGAGGCCGTAGGGAGGATTGTGGTTTTTAACCAGCCATTTGTCAGCTATGGGGAGACGGTGGCTTACCGTGCTTATGGTGCCTCTGAGGCAGCCAAATTGGGAGCTGTGGCCACCCTCATTCGATCTATTACACCATACTCTATTAACAGGTACCTGTTTATGAGGAACTGTTATGAAACTTACTTTTAAGTACTGCTGAAGGGTCTATGGGTATGATAAGAGGGCTTAATCGGAAGATTTATACCGCTCTGTCTCCGTCTTAGAGAGGATGCACTTCCCCAGTATTTTGTTTGTGGTGCTAAACCAAAGTCTTAAGTTCCAATGTTGAACCCACCTCTCTGTCTTCTCCCTCTCTAGCCCGCACACAGGTTGGCAGGACTACCAAGACGGAGTGAAGCGCATCCCTACGGCCTGTATCACCGTGGAGGATGCCGAGCTGATGTGGCGTATGGCACAGAGGGGGCAGAGTATTGTGGTCAGACTCACAATGGGAGCCAAGACTCTGCCGGATGCTGACTCCTTTAACACAGTGGTTGAGATAACAGGCTGGCAACACCCTGAGCAGGTAGAACTCACACTCCCACCACAGACGCCCGACTTGCCTGACCTGTCATCTTGTTATCTGTGTGTCTTGTCATGCTACTGGCCTCTCTTTTCCAGTCTTTAAGTGTTGGAGGAAATCTGTTTAGGTGGGCCTTCCAAATGAATTGTATGGGAAACGAAAAAAAAACTATTATTAAGTTCTTGTCTCTCTGTTAATTAGTCTTTCTCTCCGTCTTTTCCTATGTTTGGTGGGATGAGGAAAGAATGCCAGTATAACCTCCTTATGCTTACTCCAGATATTCCCACAGCTGTTTAGTCTGGCTTTATTTTGCCGGTGTGTGTGCGATCTCATCTTTCCAGAGAAGCACTGAGGATCATCTCAGTTGGGAATGCTGGGATTTCACTTTCAGTCAGTCAGTATAAAGTAGGCTTCTCTGGAAACAGCAGTGTGTAAACAAACCATTCAGCTTAATTATGTTTTTGGGTGTGTTTATAAAAAAAAAATGCTTTTCAGAGGAATTAAGTCAATTTCTACTTCTTTTGAAAACTCCCTAAGAAATGTCCCTGCATTGGCTTCCTATTTTCATGAATCCTTTTATGGTATGAGTAGAGTTGTGATTTGTGAACACAGGTTAATGTAAACACACAGAAAGATTATTTAAATCTACATTTGGGCAAATGTTCCTGTACTGCAACACAGGACCTGGAACACTGGACTCATTCTTGGCATTTGTTTTTATTTTCAGACTTTGTCGTGTATAACTAGTACATGGTGTAACTTTTGAGTCAATGCGGATGGACGGTGTTGCTCAGAAGGGACAT